TTGTTAAGGGGATGTGGTAAGAGGGTGAAATTTAGATTTATATATGCTTTTATATGCATTAGTATTAGTAGTATATATATACTATCCAATTGGACCTAATTTTGTCTGGCGCTTAAAAAGCTGATAATAACATTTTAATAAGATTAAATTATTAATAAATTGTTTATTAATTTGGAAAATAATACATAAATAATATATAAATATGTTACAATAACAGTATTTAACTTTTGATATAAACACCAGTCCAATCAGACCTAATTTTGCCTGCCGCTTAAGAAACTGATAAAAACATTTTAATAAGATTAAATTGTTTATAGATTGTAAATTAATTTGCAATGTAATATATAAATGATATATAAATATGTAGAAAAACAGTATTTTACTGTTAATATATACTGTCCAATTAGACCTAATTTGTTTTAATCAGAATTCTGATGCCCATAATAACATTTTAATAATATTAAATTGTTTATAAATGGTATTATTATTCGGCAAAATAATATATAAATAATATATAATTAATATTTGTAAGATTTGACAACAAAATGTGAGAAATGTTCTAAGCACAAACATATACAGTAATAACAGTAATATTACTTGCCTAACTATAATTTGCGATATCTATTTCTATTTCTTTAATATTTTTTTTATATAGCAGAACAAATAAAGTCTATTTAAATTCAAACAAATTTAAACCTTTTAGGCAAATATTAACAATTGTGTTAGTATTATTTTATGTTTCCAAGCATTTATGATAAATAGACCTAAAAATACACCTAGGTTTTTTTATTGTTTATGTTTTTTTTCTGTTATATGTAAATACTATAATGATTAAAAATGTATCATTATTAGTGGTGCTTTTGAAATTAATAATAAAAATATAAATATTTAGAACTTAATAAATTCCTAGGCTTTTAGCGAATTGAATCAACAGTTTTTTTTTTGTTAAAAATTATATATTTCTATTATTATTTACTAATTCGATTTATTTTTTATGTGTGCCGCGATGTTTTTCGAAATGTTATTTCCTGCTGCACTTCCGAAGCAGTAACGCATAGTAACGAGTCAAATGCATAATCAGCTGCGGCAACACTAATCTCAAAAGCGAAAATCTGTGTCATTATCAATGTAGTTGGCAGTAGTTCGTATGTGAGACGTAAAACGTATTGTGTTGCAGCGGAGCCGTAGATATTTTTTCGGAATTTTACAAGTTTATTTTTGTGTATTAATCCAAATAAGAATATTAGAAAATGTCTTCCCCAAGTGCAGGGAAGAGACGAATGGACACTGATGTCATTAAATTGTATCCTTTTGGTAATTTTTTGCGTATAAAGTTGTATAGATGTAAACAATAACATTGGCCTTTGTCAGCTGATCATGTCAATTACGAACACTAATCTAAACAGAATTTCGAGCAGACGTAACATTTTATGAATAAGAATATGTTGCACTCGATATATTAATCATTGTTTAATGAAATATTCATTATATTTTCTCTAAAAGTTCTTTTAATTAATTGCTACGTGTTTCATATGTGATAACATTAATGTGATGGAGTTCGCGCTGTATAATGTTTCGAAATACATATGTGACATAAAAGTTAATATTTTTCTAATAAGTGAAACATTAATATAAATCATTGTTTATATACATATCTTTTTCACATCAATAATTTTAATTATTGACTTCCAACACATTTGTTCTGCATATCATTTTCCTATTTCATTTACTTTAGAATTGAAAGTAAGCATGAGGTAACAATACTTGGAGGCCTCAATGAATTTTGTGTAAAATTCTTTGGGCCAAGAGGAAGTAAGTAGAATTTTTCTTATTTAATAAATATTATTTTTTATTGTAATGCATAATTAAAATAATGAGCTAATTCTTATGACTCATGATGAAATAATGTGCTATGACAAATAGACCCATATTAATAGTTACTTATAGGAGACATAATTGCATGCAATAATTTTATTCAAAATGTCTGATTAAAAGAAACTGTTTATGCAATATTAAATTTTTTTGTTGTCATAGCTAAATATTGAAACTATTATATATATAGAATTTTGTGATATGAGTGGAACGAATTTAAATGTTAAATATATAAAAATAAATCCAACACTCAGATTTTTTAACACACACTTTATTTTGAGACCATGGTATGCCTCATCTTTAGTGTAATTTCCAAACAGTTACTTATCTACTAAAAAATTCTTTAATATTTTATCTAAATTACATTTCATTTTGAAAATACAAAACAACAAAACAACATTCTCTTTATCTCGATACTTAAGATTTGTTTAAAATATTTCTGTATCTATTCACATGTTCTAGTACTGTGTCAAGCTTTGTAAGTGTTTTTTGTATTTTCAAAAATTAAATGAAATTTAAATAAAATATTATAGAATGTGTTAGTAGATAAGGAACTGTTTTGAAATCACACTGAAATGAGGCATACCATGGTCTCGAAACGTCTGTAATTACCAAATAAAGTGTTAATTGTATTGTTCATAGTTAACATTTAATATATATATGTATATATATATATATATATATATATATATATATGTATATGCGTAGAAAATATATTTTACTAAGTTCATTACTAGTAATAATATATAAGTAAATAAATTATCTGTAATTTTTAATGAAAATCTATTATTACAGCACCTTATGAAGGTGGTGTGTGGAAAGTCCGAGTACACCTGCCTGAGCATTATCCTTTCAAATCGCCAAGCATTGGATTCATGAACAAAGTTTACCATCCCAACATTGATGAAATGTCAGGAACAGTTTGTTTGGATGTAATTAACCAAGCTTGGACTGCATTATACGGTAATTAATAGTCTTAAGTTTCTAATTCACAGTTGTTTTCACTTTTCAAACAGCTATGAAATGTATTATACTACTGTTTGCGCAATCGAAATCATTGCATATGAGTAAGGTATTCAAGTATTGAAACAATTTTATGTTATTTTCTTTAAAACTAATGAAGGATCCTTAAAGATATAGAAAAAGAGTGCGCGTAAGGAACACATGTGATTGAAGTAAGACTTATTTGCTACTGTACAAGATGGCGAGTAAAACTAAATACATCATATAACAATTTTGAATAATGTTTATTAGTAATATGGTAACACTTGTGATGCGCTCATTTATTAGTGTCAACCATTATACACATTTATATAATGATAAATTATATATTTATAATAGCATTAAAAATATTTATAATATTTTAAAACAATAATATAATTAAAGTCATACTTCAAATATAACATGATTGGTTTGTCATTGTAATTAGCATTTAGAAATGAACTTTTATTAGAGAAATGAAGTAATTGCTGATTAATAACTTCCATAAAATTTGTTCACACCGTGGATTATGTTAAACAACGCCTAAACAAATATTGTTTTGGCAACTTCACTCATCATGCGATTGTGTTTGAAGAACTTTATGTAATTAAAATTAACATACATTCAGTGACTGCTTGTATTTTTTTTACTTTTTTGATGGCGATATAATCTCATTCTTTGAACTGCTGTAATATCTGTCTTGCCTGAAAATATTTTTCATTTTAATAACTTCAGAGATTTATAGAAACTACAAATAATATAGAAATAATTTCTAATCAATAAACTTACGTTTAGTACACGACCCAAATGTTTAATTTGTTTTATTATTTTCAAGGAACAGGGTAAAATATTCTTATGATTCAGGCATTTTTCATTAAATCAAGATTTGTAACTACGATGTAAGTTTAAAATGTTTATTTATATATGCTGATTTCCTGTTGATATCGGTACGCATACAACGCCAGATCTCTATTCACATACACGACGACTAATCACAATCGACCCGTATAGAAATGATATCATCGAGAGCGAATGACGAATCATTGGCACTCGATTCTCATCTTATATTATCTGCCGTAACGCATTTCCGTTGAACTTGTACGGATTTACACCCTAGTCGTGCCTAAAGAAGTTATACCTCAATATTATAAAAAATTACAGTTTCATTCTTTTTCTAAGCCTTGTGCTTACTTTATTACTTACCTTTATTCATGTTCAATTTTTTTGTGAAAATATATAGTAACTATATTTAATATAATATTTTCATTTCAGATCTGTCCAACATATTTGAATCATTCTTGCCGCAATTGCTAACATATCCTAACCCCATAGACCCCCTTAACGGTGATGCGGCTGCTATGTACTTACATAAGCCTGAAGAGTATAAGAAGAAAGTAGCAGGTATAATAAGATTAAATTATTTTTAAATTGTCAATTAGTCTGCAAAATAATACATAAATAATATATAAATATTATTTGCAAGATTTTACAGCAAAATTACAGAAATGTTCTAAACACAAACATTACTGACCTAACTATACTTTTCAGAATCATATTCCTATTTCTTGAATTTTATTATTATATAGCACAACAAAGAAAGTTTATTTAACAGTAGTATATTTATTTAACTTTAATTATATAACATTAGTATATTTAATTAATTTTGACTAAACAAATATATTTAATTACAATAATTGAATGCTATATTTAGCAGAAACTTCTTGGAAAAGATATTTTAGTTTTAAAAATTCTTATTTATATTTATTGTTTAGATTATGTGCGCAAGTTCGCGACAGAAGAAGCCCTGCGCGACCAAGACCATATCATAAGCTCAGATTCCGAATCTAGTATGTCAGATTTTAGTGAGGATGAAGCACAAGATATGGAGTTATAACGCTGGTTGTGTGCAATTGTTACTTTGCTCAAGCAACTAATTTATATATCTTAAAAGTGAACTAACAGTCTAGTAAAGTAGTCTAGGTAAGAAAAGTAAATCAAACATTTTTCCCCTCTGTCCTTCATGTTCTAAGACCTATTTTTGCAGGCTGTATAGATTCCTTTAAATTATTTTTGTTATTAATTGGTAATTCTTCTGATTTTTATAATTGAATATTTGAATATTTGATACATTATGTTTATTAAGAAAAATCACGAGTGAGATATTTTTATATTAACAAGCGACAAGTGATAAGTTTTTTTTTTGTAATATTTTAAATAGGACTATCTAAATATATTTAGTTATTTATATATTTATATATTGTAATTGAGTTTCAATGATTATGTTACCAAACGTTACTTTTTAATTAATATTTATTGTTTGTTATAAGTTTTTTTTAATACATTAAGGTTTTGTTGTTTTTCTTTACATCACTTCTTCTACTACAATTCGAAATGCAGGGATATGGGGGTTTAATGTTTGTCTTATATGAGACATTTCTCTTCTTATAATTGCATATATATATATATATATATATATATATATATATATATATATATGCACTGTTACTTCAAATTATTTATTACATTCTTCAGAAGATATACTAACAGGTCAAATTATATGTACATATTAATTTATGTACATATATACATATATATTATTCTTTGTTTTTTTCCTTAAAAAGAAATAATTGTAGTAGTAATAACTTGTGAAAATAATTTATCAGGTTTAAAAAAGTTTTCAAATTATGAATTAAAAAAAATATCTTAAAACGTTTGGAAGAAATTATGAATTATTAGATTAGATGTATTTAGAATTAATTTGGCTTCTTTCTGTGAAATTTATTTTGGAAATATGAAATTTTTGTAGACAATAGTTGTTTGAAGTTTCACAAATGGTGCTGTGAAATGATTATTACTGATCAAAATATTTTCACATCTAAGATTTCTAATGTGATGTAATCTGTTATGTTTTATTTATAATCCGAGAAGTAGAGTGTAATAGTAGATATAATTAGTATATACGACTCAGTGATTGTGGGCAATGATTTGATAGATTGAAGATTTTTTTAGAAAATATTTTTTTATATAATGCATTGACTTGCCCAATTGACTATTTGCGTAAAGATTTGATATTTATTTTCATTATATTATTATATATATATATATATATATATATATATATATATATTGAACTCTTTTAAAAATTACTTATCACGAAGTAGAAACTCATTTCTATCAATCATTCCCTACACCTACATCTCTTATATAATAATTATATCGATATATTTATTCTATATAATATATATGTGTGTATGTAAGCATCGCATTACATAACAAGTTGTGTTGAAGATTTATATAATTATGAAGATAATTTTAATTTTTAAATATATTATATTGAACGGGAGAGATATTTTCAGATATAGTCAAGTTCCAAGTAAAAATTATGAATTATGAATTGTATGTGCATTGCACACACACATGTGTATTTACCTATACATATGTTATGCATATAAGTGATAAATATAAATTATATAATCTATGTCATAAGCCCCAAACGCAATAAGCAAATAACTGACAAACACAACTCTGATAATATATATAGTTAGTAAGTATTAAAAAATAAAAATAGAAATAATTTAAAATATGTATTACTTAAATTTGTTTTCTTTTGCTAATATATAGATTTATTATATTCTAAAATGAAACGTGCTACTGACTTGCTTTCACAATTCACAGATTTAATTTGCGGAATATCTACTTTGAAAGATCAGATATTATTTAAAATTATAGTATATTATGTTCATTATCTACCCTAATTATATCTTTAATTAAATCCACCCAGTTATATAAATACATTATGAAATATTTTCTTGATCTGTGTCTGCTTTTTTGCAAGTCCATTTATGAAATATATATCGATTGGCACAATTTGTGATTTATCATATTATCATCACACTGATGAAACTACATATTATGAAATATATGCATGCTTGTAAGTTTTATATTAATTTTATGAGTAATAATAAGAAAAGTACTAATATAAATATTTCTTGTTTAAATTACTATCTCATGACAAATGTATTGAATTACTTATTATAAAGAATACACCATTTACACAATCACACACACAAATAAAAACATATACATTCACACATCTCGACAAGAAAGGTACCAAATATTTAAATTTCATATTCATCATTCTTGTGAAATAATGGAAAGCAGAAACTTTATTTTTGTATTTACTAGTAGAACATGATCTCAATTTGTAAAAAATTGTTTCTTGAATTATTCCAATAATAGTGCTCCTACAGTTATAATTTGTTTAGTTTTTATTTTTGACACTTTTTTTGTCGAACAACAAAACACACGTCCACATCAAATTCTGTATACATATACAAAATGACTAATATTTAATAAAAATAAAAAATTATTTTCAAGTCATAAAAGCAAACAGATTCTATTTTATACAAAAAATAAACAGAAATCGTGGAACATCTAGTTCATAGCTGACAAAATAGAAACCTATAAATAATATACATGAATTATTAATAACTTGAAAATTTGTTACTCAACTTTGATTCTGTACCAATGTTGTCAAACACTCAAAAAGTAGTGTAACTTGGAAAGGCAGGTCCAAAACATTCTATTGTAAAATTTACCACTAAAAATATAAACATTTTTAGAACTTCTGAAATACCAAGAGAAATACTTTAATTAAAAAACAAAACAATAATTCATAAACATATGTTACTGTTAAATGGTTAATAGTTGTGTTAAAATTGGATATGTAATTTTGAATCATAAATAAAAGTAAATGAATAATAGTTTTGTTGTTTACTTAATTATTATTCTTACCTTATGGATTATTATCAAGCAAAATAATTTAGATATACTTGTTTATGTCCTATATCACTAACAAAATTTTAATTTTTTAAAATTAAATATTTTATTCAAAGATTTAATATTGGCTTTATACAAATAAATTTTATTGTGTGTGATTTTAACATATTTTAAAGAAAAATCTTCAAATTTAAAAAAAATGATGCCCAATAGAGACTGATTTAAACACATGACGAGCATACTCATCAATACATTAAATTTTGTCAATTTCACATAACAAGTATATAAACTCGTCAACCACAATTAACTGGTTACTTGAAGTAAGGTTCACGAGCCCAGAAATTTAGATTTAATATTAAGGGAGTAATAGACTCACAACATAACACATCTTGAATTATAAGAGCAGCTCGCTCATCACAGTTAAAAATGTTCAGCTTCTTTTTTCTGCATTTTACTCTCACTTATTATACAACTTAAAGAAATTTCTCAACACAAATAACCATGTATATAACAATATCTAATATATTTATTTCTTCTATTACAATCACACATATTTTCATAAATAAGTATCTTTTAAATATGAGATTCACTAGATGACTCGTAAGTAACTCTCCAAAATGACTATTAATTTATCAAACAAGACATAAATGGTGCATAGTGTCTAAGTCTACTAGAACGAGATTAAAAAAATCTATTTCCTAAATTGCACGAATGATTGCACTGTTTTAGGTCTAATGATTGAATTCACATTGCATGCACATTGTGTAGGTAAGCTGAGGCCGAATTCAATAGACCCATGCGCTGTTTCTGTTTTCTTTGCTCAGTCATCTGAAAATAATAAAAAAAATAATAAAATAACATCAAATGATCAAAGATATCGATTACCGAGAAAATGCAATATTTTGTTGAATCATATTATAATGCAACATCTCGATATATTATTAAATATCATTGTTTCCTGATATACATATAACAAGATGAATAGATGAACACACATATTTCTATACAATAAATTATAAAACTTTTATTTCAATAAACTCATGCAACAGATTTATGGTTTTCAATTGATGTTAAACACCAGTTAATGATTTGTAACTGTTTGATAGAAGGGATTCTGAATTTTCGATTTGTACAGACAAATTTAAATTATCAAACTATTTTGAAGTGTAATGGAAACCCGTATCCTCATAATGATAAATTAGAAAAAACAAAAAGGGCAAACCTGATCTTTAAGTTCCATTAGTTGTTGAGATAAGTTGGTGACAAGCAATTGTGTGTTTTCCAATGTTAGTTGAAGACTCCTGAGCTCTACTTGTTCTCCCTCGCCTTCAACAGCAGCTAATGACATGGCTCTTAATCTTGGGAACCAGTCTAAATTGCAAGTCTAAAACATTAAAATAAGTTTCAATAATTATGAAATTTGTGTTTAAACAATATAAATAAAAACACAATTAAATACACACTTAAAAAACTTAACTTTCAGAACTTCAAGTTAAAAAACTGAACTTTCAGTTTATTTTCCATAATAAATTTTATAAAAATAAATAATATAACTTAAAATATAAAATGCAGAAAATGCTTTGTTTTCATAGTTACCTTAACCATAGCATAAACGTAACTCTCCGGTCCAGTAAACTCTGTAGGATCTTTAACTTTAACAAGTACTATAAAATATAAATAATGCCACATATTGTGCTCACACTTGATATGTTCTTCAAAGCTAACAGTTTTATTATCAAAAGCAGATCTATTGAGTCCTGCAAAAAAATATTGATTGGAAAAAATATTTATATATACAGCAAACAATATTCAGGTGTTATATTTTATCTAACTATGTATATTTTATTATACATACCGCAAATGAAGCAAGTATTCTTCAAAATGAGTTCTTTCTGTTGCTTTTCACTTCTCAAGTCAGCAAATGTGTCGATAATGACACCAAAAATTAAATTTAAAACAATAATGATAACAATGAAGAAGAACAATAAATCGTATATAACTCTGGCAACAAATAGGCCCTCCTAAAAAGAAATTATTTGTTATATAAAATGCAGTTATGTCAATACAATTATAATTAGACATTACATTTAAGAACAAAGCTAAATTATAATATGATTCTCATATAAATCGAAAATCAAATTTGTAATTTTGTTTTATTATTATATATTATTTATTTGTTTATTATTATATTCATTTCATTTTTATTCCAGATATATTAATTTTTAATAATAGTATATGTAATAAATTAATAATTAATTTTATACAATATTATTTATTACACATATTATTATTGAAAATTGATATATGTATATTAGGGTGGTCCTTAATATGGACATTTTCGAATTTCCTTGCTCCCAGGGGATCAAATGCTTCCAAATTGATAAAAAAAAATCCTCTATAAGTTTTAGCTCTTAATATTATTTTTTAGATAGTGCGAAATTCAATCAAAGTTTTGTATGGAAATTGCATGGATAAATTGGAAATTTCTCTCAAATTTCTCTCAATTTTCAAAGACGTTTTCTCATAAGACTCTAATATTCCAAAAAGTTATTTTCGACTATCTACTCTATCATCATGCAAAGTTTGATCAAAAACCAAAACAAGTAAACCTGTTGTTCTCCTTGTGAGTTAATAAAAACTATCTTACATTGCTACTAGGCGCTCGCAGAATATCTCCAATGCCACCTCCATTTCTAAGTCCCTGGTTTAGTGTGGTGACTATACACATGATCAGCGAATCGCACGCACGTTCCTTAATTTCTCCACCAACCACAACTTCACCAGGAGCTGGACCGTCCGACTCAGCGCGTCGGCAGCTCCCGGAACTGCCTTCATTACCTAGAAGGTAATAGAAATATAGTTAATGGATAATACTTTGACTTTATACCGTATTTTTTTTACCTTCTCGAGTATATTTCAGTGCTGCATCTTCTGCAATTCCATGATCTAATTCACATTCTTGTTTCGCTAGAAATAAAAATAAAAACTGTATAAACAATATGTATTAATCTCACAAAGTGCTAAAAGAAAATTGTGATCTTACAAACAATTTCTTCATCAACACTGACTAAAAAGTCATCTTTAAAGAACATGTAACCAATAATCGAGAACATATAAACCAGAATCAAAGCAAGTACAGCTGTTAAAATAATAGACCTTCCGTTTCTTGTAACAGATCGAATAACATTCAATAGGGTTTCTTCGCGGTAAACAACATCAAATAGCTGTAAATCAAGTTATATTCAAAAAAAACACCAAAGTGATGAATAAAATTAATATTTGCATTATACTTACCAGCACTGAATAGAAAAATGGGTGAAACATAATTCCGAGTAGACAAAAAATTAAGTACGAACAATGGTATAATAACTCTGCATCTGTTATAATCTTGAATAATGGTTTAGTAACTGTACCGTGATTTCCCATGATACTAACCAAGTGTATTCCTTTTAAAATCACCTTAAAATAGGAAAAATACATAAGAGCATAGTAATAAGAGAGGAAAGTTAAAAAATGTTTTTTCACAAAATAACAACATTCTGAAGAATATGTTTTTTACAATTTCTTTTTTAAAAATAACTTTGAAACTTTGAAAATATGAAAAAAAACAAAATCGATTTTTTTAAAATTCTGGATCAAAATGAATTTCAATTTAAAAACATTTACCGTAAGAATTCCGAGCAATCGTAACGTAGGTTCAGGTCCTATAGAAAATATCAATCTTAATATAGTGGCAGCTACTAAAGTTCGAATACCAGATTCTCTAGGAAGTGTAACAACTATAAAGGCAGATAATAACATTACAGCCCAGATGAGTAGTGATAAATGTGAACCTAAGTCTAAAAAGAAACATTGTAAAAATCACACTCAAAAGATAAGTTATCAACAACAAATATTTTAAAATGTATAGCTACTTGGCACATTATCTGTGAATGGATAGAAAAATGCAACTATCATATTTATAAGTACAGCACAATTAAACAAAATGTTACTCCAGAGTGACATGTAACTGCTAACCCAGAACAACCAAGGTTGACCTAAAAGTTAAACACATTTTGCTTAAATGATGAAATCAAGTAATGTGTTATCTAAATATTATCCAAACCTCTCAGTTTCTTCTGCCATTGCATCTCATTGAACATTTGTCCAGTTCTATCAAAGAAATCAGAAACTTTAGATCCTTGGTCATCTCGTTCAGCAGTATTCAATATTTTAATTTTTGTATCTGTTGTTATGTATTCACAAATTTCAGGTATCGGGAATACAATTTGTTCTAATGTTCTGTCATTACGGACAATCTAATAAAACAGAAAAAAACATTATTTTACAACAAACAAATATTTATGAAATTCCAACCAAATTAATCAAAAGCATATACAAAATTTTTGACAAAAATTAGATCTTTGAAACAAAGATATTTGAAAGACAGAAAAATACCTCACCTCAATTTGAGCAGTATGAGTGGCATAATACAAAAGCGCTTGATTCATTTTCGGATCTATATTAGTCTCAGCTGGTTTTAATAGTGTAGCTAAGTCTTTATTATGTTGAGCTAACTGATGGCATAAAATATAAATATTGTGACCCACTTCTTTGGGAGAAACAATATCATCTAAGTCATTGGCATCTTCATGATTGTCATCGTCGTCTAAAATTTCTTGATGATAAGCGCGACAGGCTACGTCAACCTGAAGAAAATATAACACAAAGTTAATAATTAATATAAAGCAATTGGTATTAAATAAAATAGAACGCACTAGTTGTTTGGGATTCATATTATACAGGATTCGTTCCGCATTTTCGCTATCGCCTCTACTTTCCATAATTGCCAGCAATAGTTTGGAAGCATTGTTTTTTAACTCTAATATCAGATCCATACGACTTTTGCCTAATGGATTTATGTCGTTCAAAATCAACGCCGTTATAATATCCAGGCCATTTGACTCATGAGTCGCTATGCAGTTCTGATTCTCGTGACATGGTCCCTTTAGATATAAAAATAATTAGAAAAATCTTAAATACAAACTGAAAACATAAACACATTGAATTTAAGTTAATTAAGTATCAAAAAATATTATCCTAAGATGGTTTTGAAGTTTTGAACAATGGAAGTATACAGTTATATATACCAAAAAGTTCTTAATCTGTGGTAATCAGCATCTATATTGCATATTTAATTAATATTTACCTGGCAATATTCAGTAAGAGTTTCTAAAGTCTGATTGATCAAGGCAACGTTGTGTTCATTTATGTATAGTCCTAATAAGCCTAGACCACCTGTCGTAGAACCACAAATGCAGTCTAAGAACATCAACGTTTCAGAAACCAAATTGAAATTTGTCTTGTTATTTTGATTTCTCAGGAGATTCTGATTAAAAAATAAAATAAATATATCATAAATATTAAATTTTATAATAAATAAATACAAAAATAAAAAACTGTATATGAATATATGAATTTGATAATTAATATATTTTTCACTAGCCTGTAATTCCGGATTATGATTTTCACATAACAACTGCAAAAATCTCAGAATTGGCTGCATAACTAGTACTTTAGCAGAAACTTTATTTTGATCTTCAATTTCCCGATGCTTATCTAATTTTTCTGCCAACATATCTTCCAAAGCTGAATTTAATCCTAATGAGACTGGACAAGAATCCTCGCCTGGTAAAACATAAATATACATATAAAATAAAATGACAAATTAAGATTAGACTATATTAACAATTTATTATTACTAAGTGAAAATAATTACAAATCTTACCATGTTCAGTGCCTGGTGGAATATTCTTGGCCCCGGCGTATGCTTGAGCTGATGCTGCTGCTGCTTGGTTAATTTCATCACGAAGCTCGTCAGTAAGCAATAATCCGTTTGGTTTTTCTATAAAGAATGTATAAAAATATTTAAATTGGGATAAATGTGTTATTTACCAAATGTGTTAACTAATAAATTATTATATTAAGTTACCAGAATGTTTTCGGGATATTTTGTCATGGTCTTTGTTGTCCTGTTTATCCTCGTGGGCTTTAGCAGCGATATCAGAAGTGTTAACGGTCACTGTAGATTTAATTTCTTGTTGTGCATCACGCATTTTTTCATAAAACACCTAAAAATACAATAATATAATAATTAACATAATTAATATGACTGAAACAAAATAATAATTTTTCGAACAAAAAGCACAATTTTTATATAAACTACAATTTCAAACAGCTCTATATTATAAAATTTGCTTGCACAAGTAAAATAAATATATACATAGAAATAATCCTTAATTTTATATTACCGATTATCAAATTTAAATATATTTTTAAAACTTAATTTAATAATGTTTTTTATTATTACCTTAAAGAATGCTTGGCTCAAATCTCCTCCAAGCAGTTTACTAAACATGCTCTTCTGTATGATAGGATTTCCTCCTTCAAGAAGTGCAATACCTAATTCTACAGCTTCCACAAAAATTGATGGAGAGTGAATTGATTTAATGACTAACTCAACTACTAAATCGGATGCACCTTCTCTATCTAAATGGCTTTGCACTTCGTGTAAAGTTCTGCCAGCACGACTAAGAAGCTTGGCTAAAATAAACGTAGTGAATTAATATGATTATTCAAAGTTATATAGTATATTATATTATAACTTTTGGAAAATCTTATATATCTCGTATATCTTTTTACATAAAAAAATGTACTATGTCGCATTCGTGTTGCCTTATACAGTGGTGTCTCGCATAACGTACTTAATTCGTTCCAAAAGCAAGTTTTTTTTTATGTAGAACACGTTTTTCCATAGTAATATTCAAAAGAGTGGTCTTGACTCCTTCTTTGCAATATTAGCTTCTCAAAAAATCTGTCGTATGATGTTTTTTTCTTTTTTTGTAAGATCTTCCAAATAATAATCACTGTAAAATTGTGTATCTTATTAGCATAACCCATGTTTGAAAAGTGAGTATTTGTAAATTTTTGAAATTCTTTTAATTTGAGAAGAAAGAGCTTTGGTGCGGCCAATTGTCCCTTTTCTCCTCTATTTATAATAATCCTTTAAATTCCCTCAAGATTTTTGGAATGAGAAGATGCAATATCGAATGATAAGAGGGAGGTTTTACTTCAACAAATATATATTTTCACAGCAGGAGCAATAACTTCCAAGATCCACTCTTTGAACAGCATTTGGATCACCCAGGTTTTCTGATTGGTCTTATTAGTCTATTTATTTTACCTCAAACGGCAATGTTTAAGTACGTTGTGTGCGGAACATTACTGTATTTTTAGATTATATGTAAATAAAGCAAACTAAATTAATTTAGTATCTCACCGCCTGGTCCATGGGTCACATTCGCCAACTGGAAATTAACGCCCAGCTCAACCGTTTCTGGCTTTTGAGTAAAACTTTTTCCAAAATACCTAACAAGCAAGTGGTTACGCAAAGCATCACCCTAAAAATGCATAAGCTAATCACAATAGAACACTAAAAACGTAAAAACAAACCAAAAATCTAAAATATTAGTAATAATATAGAATAAAACAAACACTCAAATCAAACACTTTCTACCAAAATATATCACACTTTGAAATTACTTTAACTAAATGAAATATTTGAAAATCAAATCAACATATTGCAATAATATATAATTTTAGTATCAATTTAAAATATTTTTGAAAAAATCATTACCTACTATTTATGTATGCCTCAGGTAATATTTAATGAAATTCAAGGATGACTTCATATTTATTATACAAAAAACAAACTTAAGACTTTTGCAATGATAACTAAATGCAATGGGTACAAAAAAGTTAGATTCGACAAATAATAGTTATAATAAGTAATAATAAATTTTGTTTCCATTCGCATTATTAGTCTAATTCAATCTGAACACAATTGTTAATTTTTATACAAGTTACCCTATTAACTGGTTCTGTTTCACTTTTCAGCGTTTCTGTCTGTACAAGCAGCATTAAAGAAAAATGTTTAAAGTTGTAACAAATCATTGAATTTTTTTCATAAAACAATTGTGATCAATCAACTTGAAAAGTTGTCATACCTTCTCTCCATATTCAGGATCTATAGCCATCATTTCTCGGAGCGTTCTTAGGACTTTGACGCAAAGTTTTTCTTCCTTCTCTTCAAGAAGTTTTTCAGTATGTTTGATTAACCTTAAATAAAAAATAGATAAAACTCATCTCATCTTAAATGAAAAAAATTCAACAAAACTATTAGTTCAATACATACCTTCTGATAAATCCTCCACTTTCACATCGTTTTCTAGATTCAGTTCCAACTGGGAATAAGAAAGCTGGTCTATACAGGACATCTACTAATAAAGATAATTCTGATTGTACCAATGGTCTTAGTTGATCTTCTAAAAGTGATACTATGTCCTGAAGGCCTTCGATTATACTACGATCTAGCCGTATCAACTATTAATATGAAGATCACAATATAAGTGTAATGATAAAAATTGGTATTTCAACAGTCGTCAACAGTACCTGTGACTGAGATCTTTCTATTTTCGGTGTTTTGGACGCCAGTAACCATTTACTGGTCTGTCTTGTCAGCATGGCAGCCTTGTTGAACATCGATGCAACTTGTATTTCTAGATCCGAAGGAATTGCAATGCCTCGTATTTTAGCTGCAAGAAACATGTGATAAAATCTGGAAAGTTAAAACTAAAATATCGCAAAAAAACTTTATAGATAAAATGGTAACTCACATATCTCTGATAGCGTTCGAACGCAGTTTTCAACATTAAATCTTTGAGATGCATTAAGCCAATTACACTGAGATAGTTTGAAGGCTGTGTGCAGAAGCTGTACGAAAATTGGCTGGCGGGTCTGCAATTTCGTTGATATTTACGGAAACGAAAAGTGATCAATGAGAAACTATAACTTGTACAAACACATCAATGTATGCACAATTTGTATGCACATTCTCGAAACAATAATAAAAGATGATACTGACATAAAAATGGAGAATTAATAACTGAAACTAAAGCTATTTGAACATGTACAAGCAACTATAATATAGTAAATGGAGACAATGCACATGCTACAAAAGCCTCAAACGCAATCTTAAAAAAAAAATTAGATATATTTGAAAAAACTAGTAGATTTCTAATCCTGATTCTACCAAAACTCCTGCACCGATGAATTAAAAGTTTTTCAGAAATAAGTAAAAAAGTAAAAAGTTTATCACTTCATAAATTTTGTTTTGTCCTTTTAATTACAAATTTATTATGAACAAAATCAAACTCGAGTTTGACCAGATCTGGTGTAAAAAACACTGTAAACGCTTTAAGCAATAGTTCAAGATCAGTAGTTTTCAAGTTGATATTCGATTTTTCCTTGAAAAAGAAGATTTAAAACAGAATGAAAAATAAAACGTGCATGATTATGGAATTTATATACAAAAGATTGAAATTTGACATGAATAGGCTTAGTAATAGTAGCAAAAATTCATATACACTTTTGTAATAAAATTATATATAAATGGACATTGAAAATATTCATGCTCTGATAAAAAAGATAATCCGAAATTTGCTAAGATAAAATAACGCTGATCTGATCTGAATATGTAACTGCTTTCCTTCTATTCTCAGTGAAATAAAAAAAGAAGAAATTAAATGTAAAATAATCATACTTTGCTAACCAAATATATACATATCAAATTAAAACTTTAAGTAGCATAGAATGAATTAATTAATTTTCAAAACAAATATATAATCATTATAATTATTTTCAATCGAACGCTGCATAAACCGTAATCTGTAATAATATTTTCTCGTTAGAAAATCATGCAGAAATCTTCTGGAGAATCCGGTCTATATTTGGGCAAAACAAAACGATAAAGATTAGTAAAACTGGAACACATGCGGCATGCTCTAGCAATCTGCAATTAGCTACTAATTAATAATGGCATTAACATGACAAGCATTTTAAATAACATTACAGCAATAAACCAGAAACTGATTAACATTTCACCCAATAACATCTTGTTAAATTTTAGGTAAAAAATTAGAAACACGGTAGTAATAACCGATGGTAAACTCCTAGATATAATGTTGATCGTTTCTGATCTAGAATAATAGTTTTTTCACGTGTCAGAATAATTCAATTTTTAAGATACTTCAAGAATAGATAAAACAAAAAAAAGAAAATTCTCGTTAAACTAAAACATATTGTCAGTACGATGACCCTAGGACGAAGAAAAAAAAATCAAAAATTGACAAAGTGGCGGCATGTTGAAAAAAAAGTCCCAAAATTTTGGTCGTTTTTGGCCTGCCAAAATTCGATTTTTGATCAGATCAAAAAACTGGAAGGTCATCGTATGGACAACTATATAGAGAAGATGCAAAAAAATGTGATAGCAATCGGATCATTTGTCTCCGAGTAATCACTCCAGCAAATTCGCAAAATTCTGTTTCGAGAAAAACACGTTTAAAGGAAAAATGTTATACTATATACTATTCTAAATGGCTGTCGCTCAAAAACTATTTAAGATATCGATTTAAAATTTTAGTATGTTATTTTTAAAAGTATAACCTATCGAAATATGGAAAAATTCAAAATTCGATTCTTTGAAAATTTCACACTAGGTGTGCCCCTTAATGTTTTCTTCTGTTCATTACTAAAACTTTGTGAAACGAGAATTTTAGAATTTGTTTTTTCATAGTATAATATTGAAGGAAAATATACTGAATAAAAATTGTAATTATGTATAATGTTTGCCTCAAGAATCAAATTATTAAATAGATAAAATGTAAATAATAGTTATTCGATAAAAGTTTAAATATAATTTATAATTATTTTTTCTTTGTCAAAAAAGCTTCGACATAGATACACAAAACATTATAAAAAGTAAATATTAAAGACCAAATAACAGATAGAACTTCCAAAACACGATACCGAAATGTATTTCTGAATCAATCAGGATGTCGAAACAGGTAGAAGGACCTGTTCATAAATATTTGACATGAACTTTCTTTAAACAATTATTTGTTGCTTTTTTAATATTTAAGTCAGTATAAAAAAATAAATCATTATTCTTAACTAGAAGCGACTAGTCCACGAATATAGAAGAGGAACATATTTGACCACAAACTAGACTCCAAAAATAAAAATTATAACTAAAACAATATAGTTCAAGCACTGCATTGTAGTCAAATATTCTCATACTAATCAAAAATATACTCGTAACACGATATCAGTTATTTAAGTGCATAAAAAAGTCAAAGCCTTAAAAACTAAGGATACCGAAATTTGAAGACTTATTGCAGGAAGGGCATCTAATTATTTATTGCAGGAAAATTATATGAATCCCAAGTTCTGAATATATTATTCTGAGTGAAAATACTATTTGGGTTGATTAGGTAGCAAGCAGCAGTTTTAGTGTCTTGCTGGGCAGCGTCTGACGGCAGCAGAGCGATTCTGACCTATGCAGGCTGCATACTCACTTGAGGGTCGCAGTTATGGTCGAGCTGCGAGGTTAAGGGGCAATTTTCGATGGTTCGTGAAGGCACAGCAATTGTCAAGCAATTCGCATCGTTATCCGCCTGACAAGGTTTCTCGCTCCAGTAAACCAACGCGTCATGCAGATATTTCTAAGTACCACAATAACCAACAACCACAGTTACGATAGCGTCAATCAGTCGATAGTAAGTTTTTTTTTAATAGGGCCGACATATCAGACTATCACACATTATGCAAACCTTACTATAAAAATAATTTATACAAGTTCCTTGGTAATGCTGTCCCGGATTGGCCGGGACAGTCCCGGGTTATTTTAAAAGCATGATTTGTACCGGATTTAGATCTTTTGTCCCGGACTGTCCCGGTTTTTCAAAATTAACAGATGAATTAACAAAAATTATGAAAACAAACGAACAAATGCTAATTTTTTCAAAAATATTTATGAATATAATTGAATAAAATATTATACAGGGCTCAAAAGCGCGAAAAACATATAGATCCATATAAGATATAATATCATAGATGGAAAAGTATGACATATAATCGAATAATAAAGTTCTTACTAAAAGTCCGCAATTATCATAAAAAAAGATTTATATAAAAAACTGTTATTATTTACCCCCCCCCGGCCCGGATTAGCATAACTAAAAATTGCCGTCCCGGTTTTGACTTACAAAAATATGAGTTAGAAAAATATGGTCACCTTAATAATATCCATTTATCTTTTCTAGATAAAATTTTAACCATTTTACATTGATGATTTCACGTTTAAATAAAATAAAATACGACTCTGAAAGCACCTATACGTCAATGGAAAATGTGCTGCTCAGTTAGGATTTTATTCACGAAAAGTATTCGGAAACATTATTTACGCATTTTTTAAAACATACGTAACCCTTACGTGATAAATTGAATTATATTTAATATTTATTATAATATTTTTTCATAAAATATTCTTCAGTGATAAGTCAATTTTCGAAAGTCTTCATCGATCGTAACGATACTAGAAATTAATATAACTGATCAAAATAAAATATGCCTATTTTTGTTTTTTTTTTGTTCGTGAAGTTTTATAACAGTAAACTCTGGGACCGATTCTGCCGCATAACAGAAAACTGTTATGGCAAGACCATTATACGGTCCAACTTCCATACATAATACTACTAAATCATACTGTATACTGTCAAAATGTCATTTATTTGCTGTGCATTCAGGCGTTTTACACATAAACTGCAACGTATGTTATGAAGCCGAGTCAGAAAGACCCTGTTATCTAACATCGTTATTTTGACATTTGTGCGGTTTCTAGATTAGGTTTTCTACCTGACAACTTGAGAAATACACCTGCAACCACATGGCGTTTGTCAATATTTAGTATGGAAAGTTTTTCATTACAATGTTTTTGCCATAACATTGGACTGTTAATGCGGCAAAATCGGTCCATCTGAATAAATTTACTATCTTACCTTTTATGTTACGCTCAGATTATATTACTATTGCTTATAAAAAGTTTCAAATAAAGACAGGTTCAAAGCATGTAGAAAACAAATTTTTCAAAAATCTAAATATATGAAAACAGGTTTTTTCCAAAACTTTGTATCTATCTTAAGATAATTAGCGTATATAACAATAACAAAAGCAAGCTGTAGGATTTTCCTCTCAAAATCTTATGAAGTAAATTGCAATATACTAGCAAAACGTTATCAATGACTATAGTTTTCTATTTTTACAAAAAAATCGATTAATTTGTTTCCCACATTGTTCCAATTACTGTTTTAATTCTGTACAAAATCTAAATTTATTATTATTTATCCAAATAAAATTTCATTCAACATTATTGGTGTGCACTACTACCAGACAAGATATCTATCTGATATTGCATTGAAAAATATATGATAGTCTTATATGATTAAAGGCACCACAAAACTAATTCTGATTTTGCTAACAACTTAATTATAATATTCCTGTTGATTGTTGTTTGTTTGTTTTTAGTTATTTATATACCTGCTCCATTATGATTTAGACTATTTTAAATATAAGTTAGCATCAGCCACTACTATTAGAAAATCTCTATGTAATATTTTTTACCACATCATACTCAAATTATGAGTTATGTTTATTACAGTTATCTGCATGCAAAGTAGTTTAATTATTGCATCGTACGAAATTAATATCATTTAAATTAATACTGGTATTTTTTATCGGTGTGAAACTGGCTCTGGTTGGAATAGAAATATTCTAATGTTGGAAATAACCATCAAACTTAAAAATACTTTATAGATAGTTTTATGATAATTCACTACAATAAGGAACTTTAGTATAAATATGAATTTTTTTTTTATTTTCTGGTTGAAATTTAGACAGTATCAAAGATAAAAAAAATATATTTCTGTAAAAAAAAAGATTTTTACTAATTCTGAAGTGTAATCATTTTTTCGAGGAAACATGAACATTATATAGTACGTAATTAGTGAGAAAATGCTTCATTGTAAAACAGAGCCGATCCTTAAATCCGATAAAACATCCCTAGCATAAAACACACTTTAAAAATCCCTCACCAAAATAATCAAAACTCCAAAAGTAATAAAAGGTAATATAATTCAATTTTCTTTAATCGATATCATGAATTATAAATTCTCACCTGAACTGTAGTGCTCTGGTCAGAAAACGGACTGTTGAAAAACGTGGAAATTATGTTCATGACACCGTTTGTAACGTAATTCTCCAAAGCAGCATCTGAGGCAGTTTTATCACCATGTGATCTTAGAACAGTATTCATATCAACAAGAAAAGATTTTTCAAACAAACTCCACATGTGATTAGAAGCATAAATTTCTTTCATTTCTACCTCTGTATCAATATAGCAATGATTTAAAAATCCTACATAAGCTTCTTTGACCTGAAACAATATTTTTAATATGCATAAGAATAATTCATTTCAAAAAATAAATTAATTTCATTATATCTTCATAAGTTGAAACTTATTACTCATACCTGAGGAATACAACCCTGATCGCTGACCATAGCCACAATATCATCCAAAGGCAATAAGCTGTTGCATTTTATTTCAGTATACACATTTTTGCCCATAGTGCAACAAGCCAGCAATTTCACTAGTTCAACATGATACCTAATTAATATAATTTGGATTTAATAAAATATAAAATCATAATAAACAAGTATGGTGTCTCCGTAACTTACAACAATTTTACATATCTAATAAAAACAAGAAATCATCAATATTTATATAGACAATAACAAATTTAAAATTTCATAATTTAGATACATAAATTTACTCATGCAATTAAATTAGATATAAGTAATGCATCCTACTTTAGTGGACTGCTTTCATCCAGCGAATTCCAGTCTTTTCTCATCATTTCCACGAAATGATTAAATGATGCTTTATCGTTATAAAAAACAAGCACGTCTTCTCCAGCATTGACAAGCTAAAATAGAAACACATTCCAAAACTATTTTTATCACACAAACTAATGATACCTACAAGTACATAACTTTGTTAAGTTCATCCATATGAAACAAAGAAAAATAAATAAATCAAACAAATTGCACACAATTAATATAAATCTACAAATGCAATAAAATAAATAAAAACAACTTCACACTTTGTTATACAATAAATCAATAATAATTGATATAAAGTTTTGATATACTACTTTTAAGAAAATTGTGAAGAATAATTTTAAATAAAAGCAATTTTAATTTACATCGTTAGCAAACAATAAAATGATTGCACATATCTCATTCGTCACTTACAAATCAAAATTAATAAAACTCAGTCGGAAAGAAAACAGTTTATACTTACTTAAAACTATCAGTAATCAATATGATGGAGCATACTTAATAAAAAAAAACATACTAATAAATAAAAAACTAAAACTATAAATATAAAATAATAAAGTAAGAAGAAAAAACCATATCAAGTAAACCATCTGATGAAAACAAGACTACATACAAACCTCTTGCATAACCAAATCTTGGCATTTTCTTATAAATTGATTTTCAGCTTTGACAATAGTTTGTAAAAACTTCAAATATTGCACATGACGTCCATGAGTTTCAATGCAATGCACAAAATGTTGGATTACTTTTTCATTAACTTCATTGCATAAAGTTGAATTGTCCTGGAAAATGCTGCATACGGTCTGAGCATCACGAATCTAAGTGACACATATAAAAATCAAAATGAACTTATTATATTTCAAATACAAATAAATTGGGGGTTTATTGAAATTTAATAAAAACGTGAAAAAAATATTTGCTTAATAATACAAATTAAAATGCTTCTTTATTATACTTACCCCTGGATTTAAGAATAGATCTAAATGTTTGTGCAAAAGCACTTGATTTTGCTGATTTCCTAAGCAGAAATTTTGCAGAAATTCATGTGCTAGTCTCATAAGTTCATTCATCCTAGTATCTTCTTTTTCATCATATGGAATTTGAAGTAGATCCAATACAACGGTGTGAACACCTACATTACGAAGAAGACGCTGTTCATGTTTACGTGGTTTCACAAAACCACCATTCTGAGTTTGAGTGCAAAGTTTATTCATGCGAATCAGAATCTGAAAAAAAATTACATGACAACAATTTTTTACAAAACAAATAACATTATATATAAAACAAAGAGCATTAAAGCTATAGTCTATTGCATGTATATGATGCAATTTTTTTTTTTTTTTTGAATCTATTACCTGTTGTATCTTTTTATATTCCTCTGCTTGTTCAGGATGTAACGGAGGTCCCAGCTCCAAATCTATAGATGAACATTTCTTATCCGATTTTGTCAAAAACTTTGTTGGATGTGGTGAAACTGCATCATCATCTTCTTCTTTAGTTTGATTTTTTCCTGAGTCATACAAAAGAATATTAAATTAAATGATCCGACATTAATCTTTGAAACTATTACCTCCGACATTAGTACCATGTTCTTCGACGCATCTAGATTTATAAACCCATAATTCAGATTTTTCTACACTTTGACGCAACACGTCCAAATCGGATTTAATTTGTTTATAAGATTCTACGTCGCTGTCCGAAACCAACAATTGAACCTGTGGAGATAAACAAATTGCATTAGTGTTTTGCACATAAAATCTTAAAATAAATCTGTGTGGACTATAATTTACTTGTCGAAAAGCTTGAAGAACTTCTTGTCGTTGACTGAAATGTCTAAAAAGTAGATGCAGAGCTCCAGAAACGACAGATGGATAATCGTGCATTGTTAAATGTAGAAGAACTCGAAGGAAAGTTTTACCACCTCGCCCATCAAGATCTAATGCAGCGCTGTCCTCACTTGAATATGAAATTAATTATATATTTTCAATTAATTTTGAGATTTAATTCAAAAATTGAAGTATTTCATTAAAATTAAATATATACCTGCTTCCAAATATTCCCTCTGCTTGACTACCAATGGTTTCAAGATCTATACTCTTTTGCCTAAATAATACAGCATCAACTGAAGATCGCTCAGTTTCATCGAATTCGCATTTGAAAATTGATAGCAAGCAACTAATACGATAATCCAATCGTACATCTAATATAAACTGTAAAATTGAAGAGAAACTAGTTGTAAATAGCTGATGTCTTAAGGCAACAGCTATTAAGGTAAAGTGTTCAAACGTTTTATTTCAAAAATAAAATTTTCGCTTTTACTAAGAATTAATCAATGCAATTTCCAATTGATGTCTTTCCAATATGCTTATAATATGAGTAATTATATAAATAAAATTATTTTGTTAACACATTTCAATTGGTAACAAACGACAGTCTTTAATAGAGTTTCATCAAATGGCTTTAAAATTTTTGAAATCGGTCAAGCCTTTTCTGGTAATACCTCTACAAAAAGTGAAAAATCGACTCACATATACATACACACATACTTTTTCCAAATTCGGTTACATTTGATTCAGAATGACTCGAAACGTCGAAAAAACATAAAATTAGCAAAACAAATTTTTTTGCAAAAACAAACTTCTTCTTCGGGAAGTTAATAATATCATAAACATGCTCTGTATATAAATCATTTGAAATATTTCATTATAAAAATTCGTCCACTTTTTGTCGTCAAAAATATTTTTACCTGTAAAAATTTCAATAATTTTCAATTTAGTATCCATGACCAATGGATAATCCTTCATTAACTGTGAAGCTGATTTTCGTTGTTGAATTCCTGATATTGGCGACACAGATTCTCGACTTGCTGGTCCGAGTGCCAATGAAGTCATAACTGCTCCCATGTCGCCAATGCTTCTTAAAACACCACCCTCCGCTAAAATAAATTTTGCAAAATATTAGTAATAATTTAGGATAAAAATATATAAAGTTATATACATGAGTGAAAATATTATCGATTATACATTTACAAACAGATAATTTAGAAAAACTTTGATACAATACAATAGTAACTGCAGAATATATATGTTCTGCCGAAATAAGAACATATATTAAAGAAGAAGATATAACAGATAACAAAGAAATCAATCAATACATACAAGATTTAGATTATTATATGCCAATTACCTTCTACGTTTTCGCAAGCTAATAAAAAAATTTTGATAAAAAAAATTGGATATTAATTTGTAATGTGTATAACTAATTCATATGCTGAAACTTACAATCCACTTCTCCCGAAGAAACAAGGCCGTCTGGTGCATCTGTTTCAGAAACACAATCTAAGATACTTAGCAAAGTTTTTGTAAGTCTAAGTAAGTCACTAAAGCTATAGAATCCAAAGTAAATTAAGTCTCTTGCCAATTTCACAACCTAGATATAAAAAAACTAATTAGTAAATTAATTAATACTCAGCAGATATAGCAATTCTTTTATATAAAGTCTCATTATCAAGTTACCTCAAATGTTAATTTATTCTGATCTTTATCAACAAAAGACCACATTTTTGCTACAACATTACACAGATAATCCTCAACAAACATGATTGTTGTACTAAATCGTGCTTGAACAGCTTCTTTATTTTGATCTGAAGATTTATTATTATCATAACTGGAAATCAAAAAACTTTTAAATCCAAAACGTTTCACAGTTCTTTTTAATGTGTTATACAAACACTCACTCATGTATAGACATTTTTGTCGGAATTTCGGACCACAATCGAGCATATTTAACTGGAGTAACTTGTTCTTGAGGATCTCGATCTACATGAAGATGTAACATGAGTCGACAGAAGGAAGCACGCAGATCATATGGCACCATTTCATCAGACATACACCTTTGAAGTAAAAATAATATATAAAAAAATAATTATATGACATCTATACCAAAATTTAGTTACCTTAAAATTAGGTCAATGTCCAAATGTGATAAATTATTTAAAGCTAAATATTGCCTATTTAAGCACATATTTGAAAACAAATTAAGCTGATGTCGATAGTAATGAAGCATAGATTCATACTCCCGATTACCCTGTTTAGATCCGCATGATATTTCACACAATGGCATAGATTTCTAAAAATCACATTGAATAAAATTACAAATTGGAATAGATTTAAATACTTTATGATAATTTATGTTGGTACGGACTGCTCCATTATTCCAAGCTAAAACAATATCAGTATCTTCATTAATTGCTTCAGAACTAGTTTTGTTTCCACTTTTTTTAACAAAGGATTTGTCCTTTTTCACCAAGCTGTGATAAAACAATAAAATATTTAATAATTTCACAAAAATTTAATTACATAAAAATATAATTCAATTTTAAATTCTGATCACAATTACTGTGACTCCTCAAAAAAAAAAATGTTTCAATAACCTTGTTTCAATCAATATGTCTGAATTCTTTGTGCTAAGTACACTTTTGCAGATCAATTCCTGCGTCACAGCAATAGCCTTTTTATTTGAAATGCACAGATCTGATAAATAATCTAAAAAACGAGATTCCCAATTGTGTTTGTTTTTTCGAACCAGCCCAACAAATGTTTCAATTTCTGCTGCTGTGATGTGCTTCTCCAATAATTTGCGATTGTTATGAAGAAGAGCAGTAATGGTATCTTCAGCTAATATATCATAACCAATTTGTTTTTGCATAAATGCAAAATGTTTAGCTATATGTTCCTGTAATAAAATGAAAAATGTTTATTTAAAAATTCGTGCAAGCTTATATGCGAAACATATGATAAAAAATTGATTCTGAACAAATAAATAAAACAAATCTATTACCTTAAATATGAATTAGCAAGTTCAATAATATATTTGAAATAATTTTGGTCATATTTTTTTATTTATATATACCTGATTTTTTCTGTAATCCTGTTGACTCAAGCGTAATATTCTATAACACAGTCTAAAAATATATTTATAAGGTGCATGACGAGGATCATTAAGTTCCTCAATTTTCAAAAATGGTGCTGACCCGTCCGCCGAAGGTAAGAACGGTCCCTAAATTGAATTGAATTAGTAATGTAGTATAAAGTAGTAATTGGTTATTACATTATTAATTCAAGAATATTTTTCCACCTGCAATATTCTAAATAGTTGTTTTAAATATATTGTTCTCTAAGTAACTTTTGCCTATCACGATTAGGATTTGCTACACTTAATTCTAATGCTTCTGATTTATTTTGCTCATTTTCCATTCCCGCAATGAAGTAAACTATATCTTGTAATAGAGCAGTTACGGCTCTGGAATAAAGAACAATGTTAAAAATTTAAATATATATGCACTAATATTAATGTGCATGCACAAAAAAATTTATAATTAAATGTTAATTGATTATTTACTGCATCCATTATTAGAAAGATTTAAATATTTTACCTTCTTTCATTATGAGATATTGTTCCAGTTTCTAGTTTTACAGACATTGCTGACAAAACATTGCAAGCATCATTAGCAAAATCTAAATCACGTACTTCAACTGGAGAAACGGAGATCAAAGCAAATGCTTCTTTATCTTCTTTAACTATGGCACAACCAACCTTAAATAATTTAATTAAAGGATTCAATATAACTTAAAATATTATTAACAAAATCTGATTTGCTCATTGATTTGTATATAATAATGAAAATTCTTATTATTTGGATTCAATCAATTGCAATGACATAAAATTGCAGATAATGTAATTTAAGTTAAGTTATTAAAATTGTTACTGAAAAAATCAATATATTACTTTTGACATCACAGGCTTTTCATCATCCTTGTCGATGGGTATAGAAGTAGAATGAGCCCAGGTATTTGTACAAATGTGATGCAGCCGAACATAACTGGATTGAGGCACTAAAGAATCTGCTCTTGTCATAGTTGTTGGATCAAGTTCAAACAACGATGCAATATCAGTAGAGTGCGGCACAGATATCAGATGATATAATGTGTTAGCATCAACACTTGTTTCGACAGCTGATAGAAAAAAGTAAACATTAAATAATGAAATAAAGCTAACATAAATTATATAATTGTACACATGCAATTCAATGATACTAGCTAGATTTTGAATTGTTATTTTCATTTATAAACAGTTTGAAATATAAAAGAGCTGTAATCAAAATATTAAAAGATACATGCTAGCGACAAGTTCTTCAATTTTAGAAAAAGAAGCTAATTACGCTAGGTTGAAATTGTGATGTTATTTATATTCTTAAAGCTAACATAAATTGACTTTTGGTACAAATGCAATTCGAAATTACCAGCTAGTTTATAAATTGTTATTTTCCTTTAAAAACAGTTTGAAATATAAAAGAGCTATAATTAAAATATTAAAAGAAGATACATGTTAACGACAAGTCCTTCAATTTCAGAAAAAGAAGCAAATTACGCAAGGTTGAAATTGTGATGTCATTTAATTTAATTTCAAGTTGTATGTGTAAAATAATTACAAAATCATCTAAATTATTCAATTTACCTAAACTATCTTCGCTATTATTTTTCTGTTCTTCATTTGATACAGAATCGATTTCCGCAGCTAAATAATGGCCAGTCGCAAGGTGTTTGAAACGGAATATTGAATTCCAGTGTCCTGCACCCCCTCTGCAAGGATCATGCTGAACAACCTGTTATAAAATATTAGAGATGAATAAAAAAAACATATTATTGATAAATTAAAATTATGTACATATAATAAAAAAATACAACCATTTTGAAATATATTTGCAATATAATAAAAAAATAAAATCGAACGTCAACGTTAAAATTTGCATGTGTACCAACATCGGCGATATTAACGCACTTCACGTGAGTGTCATAATTCGCGGTTTTAACGGAAACCAATCGAAAATTGTTTTAGTCAGTGACATTGTTTGAAAGTGCGCACGTATTTTTGTGGTCAGTGGTTTTTATTATTAAATACCGTTTTATTTATAGTGGTGTTTTATTATCATAGGAATTTGAGGAATTGTCAAAAAGAACACCAACACAAACTGTAAGTTTTTTTTTAGAAATGAATTATTATTATTTACAAATTTCAAAGCTCAATGTCATAAATGTTACTTATTGCACTGAATCCTCAATTTTCTATTTGTCTTAATTATGTACTCAAGCAATAGACATCAATGTTATACCATTTTGCATACACTTATTATAATTAGTATAGTATTTCATAATTGAAAAAATAAGTTACAGTAAGTTGATATTAATATAGCTATATAGATAACAAAATTCCTAACAAGCTAAGAAATAAAAATTAAGACAAATACAAAAATGAGGCCCATGTTTTGATGATAGAGTGACATTGTTGAAATAGCGAGCAATCTTACAACAACATTCACGGCATAATTCACACATACACAACAAAACCTTAAGGTAACAATTGTTATGATGCTTTCTCGGAAACCAAAAATGAGTTCTAAGTTAAAAAGCGCATTATGTGATATAAGTACGACATCAATGCTCTGTCATTTTGCATGTACTTAGTATAGTATTCCATGATTTGAAAAAATGACATATAGCTAGTTGATATTAATATAGCTATATAGCTAATTAAGTTCTTAACAAGCTAAAAAATAAATAACTCAAAACTTAACAAACCAAATACAAACATTAGACACATGCATTGGTGATAGAATGGCATTGGTAAATTGGTAAAAGCGAGTGATCTTACAATAATATTCACTGTATAATTCACACATATACAACAAAACCTTGTTAAGGCGCTTTCTCAGAAACCAAAAATGAGTGTTAAGATAAAAAGCATATTATGCGGTATAGGGATGACATGTTTCTAAGTACATTAACCCGTGTAAAATGGCATATTATGCTTGAAATCTAATTATTATTATTTATTATCTCTATGGCATATTATACCTCAATCTCCCACAAAGCTTTACTACTAGTTGCAGCGGTTGCACTAGTTCTTCCAGTTGTTCGCAGAAACACATGCTGGAACTTCTTATACTCATCCATTGTCAAAAACTTTTCTTGTTCAGCATGAAACAATCTGACAACATCTCCACCTTTGAGAATTTCATCTTGGTTTTCTTTATGTTCCATAAATAAAGTCACTTTCCATGATGTTGAGGAATTTACCACATTCACCTTTTGAAATCAATTTGATTATAATTCTATTTACTTAATTACATAGAATAAATACAAATAATATTGTTGAGATTTTTGTCCAATTCTTCTTATTATAATGATTGTCAAAACTATATCATTATTTCTTTAAGTGACTTATAAAACAAATTCAAGTTTTATATACAAAGAGTCACCTTATATTATATAAATGCACATCTCCTAACCATTATATGCAAGCATTTATATGTGCATTCATGTTATATAAAATGTATTTCAAGCTCTCAAATTTAAACATTAACAGCAATGCAGTAATGAAATCAATAATTTCAATATAAACCATACTTCGAGTAAATGGTTTAAAGCTAATCATTCATTTACCTCTTTGCATCCCAAATTATCTGGTAGTTCATAATTTGCTGCCACATGCAAAACTTGTTGACCAGCATTGACTGGATTTAAAATCACTTTATCACCGACAACAACATTATCACCAGTAGCTCTTAGTTTATAAAATGGTAAAATGTAAAACCAAGAACCTTCATTGCCATTAGCATCAAGATATACTCTCATCGCATTTTTTTCTAACAACGCTGGTAATCTTTTGTTGACCGTAAGAAATTTGTTAGATTTGAGATGAAGTAACTAAAAGTAAGGTTTTATCAGCTATGTCAAATTAGAATATTTGTATTACGATTTTATATAATTATGTCATACTTGCACAACACTGCCATATTGCACTACGGATCCAAGAAGCTTTTTGTTTTCTGTGTCATTTTGCTTTTTTTCTATCTCAGCTGCATGCTATTTATTTAATGATTAAGATCAATAAATGTTGATTAAGTGATAAATTCAATAAAAATCATAAATATAACAACTGTCTAGATTCTTTCAGATATATAAAACTATTAATATATAAATTAGGCTTTGAGTTTCATGATTTTGTTTAATAAAGTAAAGTAAAGGCTTATTATTCGAAGCAACTAACATATTTTGAAAAATTTATATGGTCCCATCATAAGATTATATTAATAAATTTCATTGAAAATATTCCGATAAACTCACATGTAATCTTTTCAATAAATTTGCATCAGTGTTTGCACTTGCACTTTGTTTAGCAGCTTTCCAAATTGTTTTTGAGCAGAATATCGATTCATAGGACATATTTTAAACAAACAATCTAAAAAGTATCAGAAGCACATGAATCAAGATATATATATATATATATATATATATATAATATAATTTATATATTATATATATATATATATATATATATATATATAAACATATATAAATCTTATGAACCTCTAAATTTTTTGGGAGGGTTTCCAAGATCTCCTGCTTCAGGACAGACAACAGTTCTATCATCGACCAATCTATCAGAAAATCAAATCCATTAAATCAAATGTATTTATTTATAAATTCATATTATATACACTGAAATATACAAACCCGAGAGTGCTCAAAAATCCACAAACATTGCCTTCTGCATACAGAGACACGATGTCCCCTAGATGCAGAAAGCTTGTTGTCGCAATATCACCCATTTTTAATGTTTTAAATTTATATTCCAAATAATAATGGTTCAAACATGCACTTGGGTATATATGATCTCTTCATTATCTTAAATTAGAAAATTAGACAGATATAATAAATTAACTACTTTGTCATTACATTTTTTGTAATATGTTTATTGACATAGTATATCACATAAAATAATAAAGTTAAGGATTATAGCTGATAAAATAAATAAATGAGCTATAAATAATATAAAAAAAATGCTTGTATTATTTAAATAACTAAATAAGTGTGTATTAACTTGTTGCACAACCAAAATTTAAACATCATGAAGATTTATTGGCTTAACCTAATAAACAATATGTCACATACGAAATTTTGATTTCGTTGTTTCATTTGGGAATTAAACCAATTCATACCAAAAATTCCAAAATAAAGTATTTTTATTTTGCATATATAATAGCACAATTATAGGCATTTAGAAATTGATTTGTCAAACGTCAAACCTAAATAATGCCCAAATGTCAAAGAAGTCATTGGACACAAAGACCTGGAAGAGTGTGTCAAGATTCAAATAGATAAATCTTGTTTAACATTCAAATTGATCCTAATTCTTTTGTGCACTATGCACTTCAACAAAATATTAAAGAAACTAGCTGTAAGTGGAATTCTGTCTTAAGGCAATTAAGGCATCGTGCCTTAAGGCAAATTGCTGGAACTTCCCGTACCAAAAATTATTATTTTTTTTTAAAACGATTAACATTTTTGAAAAAAATTTACTTCGAAAAAATAAGTTTTTTGACAAACAATTAGACAAAAAATTACTTTTTTTAAAAAAAAAATTTTTAATAATTTTTTTTTTTTTTTTTTTTTTGAGAAAAAAATGTTTTCTTTATTTTGACATATTTTGAAAGATCTAAATTTTTTTTTAAAGCAATCGTACTGCTTTAACTGCATAAAGACGAAATATCAACCGCGTAAGCGCCGCGTCGACGTCTAACGCGTAAACATTGGTACGGAACCCATAGGAATGTAAACCAAAATTATACTTATTGTTAAAATCTCTATAAAATATCTGATAATTTGATGTGCATATGTCTAATGATCATTTTTGACCGATAAATGGCATTTTTTTTTACTTTTTTCATTAGATCTCCGAAACCGCTAGACCTACCTTCATGAAAATTTGATCGGTTCTTCACCTTGTCAATACAAGTAAAATGTTTTTTGAATTTTTAAAATCGGACGCTCCGTTCTCTTAAAAACTGAGTTATTGTTTTCGGTACTTTTTGCCCCGTATCTTCGGAACGGCTAGACCTGACTTCGCCAAAAACTAATCAGCACGTCTCCTTATCAATACGAATCGAATGTTTTTTGAATTATTCAAATCGGTTGATTGGTGTTCCCGAAATCGTCGACGAAAATTTGTATCCGCACATACATACACACACGCACACACACACACACACACACACACATACATCCATTTTTTCTAAGGTATGCCAAAATATTCAGAAACCTTTGAAACGTCGAGAAATGAAAAAATTTTCATTTTCGATTTTTTTGCGATTACTATAACTTGCCCTACGGGAAGTTAACAAGTGATGCATGGCATCGTGCCTTAAGGCAAATTGCTGGAACTTTCTGTACCGAAAACTGAATTATTTAAAAAACTTTGCAAAATTTTGAAAAAATTAGATTTTTGAGAAATTTTGAAATTTTTGAAAAAAATTCGCTTTTTTGAAAAATTTGATTTTGTTTATATTTTGATTTTTTTGTATTTTGATTTATTATGAAAATTTTGAACACTTTTTTAAGCAATCGCGCTGCAAGCTGATTTGAAGTCGAAATATCAAAGCGCGTGAGCGTCGCGTAGTCGTCTAACGTGTAAACATTGGTACGGAACCCATATAAATGTACACAAATTTGTACTTATTATTATAATCTGTATGAAATATCTGATAATATGATGTACATATGTCTAATGTTCAGGTTTGACCGCCAAATGGCATTACTTTTCACTTTTTTAATTGGATCTCCGGAGACACTGGACCTGCTTTTACAAAAATTTCACCAGTTGTTCATTTCGTCAATACAAGAAAAATGAATTATTAAAATCGGGCGCACCGTTATCTCAAAAACTGAAATACCATTTTTGGCACTTTTTTCCCTAAAAACTAATCAGCACGTTTCCTTATCAATAGGAATCGAATGTTTTTTGAATGATTCAAATCGGTTGATCCGTGTTCGCGCAATCGTCGACGAAAATTTGTATCCGCACACACACACACGCACACACATACATACATATATATATATATATATATATATACTCGTACACACATATACATCAATTTTTTCTAAGGTACTCCAAAATTTTCAGAAACTTCTGAAAGTAGAGTTATATAAAAATATTCATTTTCGATTTTTTATATTTATATATTGAACATTTCGTAAAACGTGTGATTTTAAATTAATATAAATAATATTTATTTTTAATAAAAGTGATAAAATTTTTGATAATAAGTCTAAGTTTGTAAATCAAGGAGACCAATAAAAAATTAAAATAAAGATAAAAATGTTGGTTCCTGTTTACCTTTATATCAAAACAAATAATTTCTAGCTCGAGTAGAAACAAATATCAGAGCCAAATAATTTTTAAAATTTTTATATGTTTTAGTTATACTACAAAGCTGAATTCCATGCTTTATTATGCTTAATTCATATTGCAAACCTACCTTCTATATTTTATATATTTTCTCTATAAATTCCTTCAAACTTTAACCACTATTTAACTCCAACTTTAATTTAATGCACAAATTCATATTCAATTATGTGATAATAAATGTGTAGTAGCGTTTAGAATATATTCTAGTGCCGATTGATATTTTCCAATTGATCTATTTTGGGTCGACTCACTTATTGAAACTATTAGACTCACACCAATGATATGGAACTTACTGTTTAAGTCTTTGCAAAAGAATATTTTGCAAATTTTATTCTAAAAATACGTTTTTAGAAATTGTTACAAAAGTAAAAATCAGCGCTATATTATAAAATATTGCAATTTAGATATGTGCATGTAATTTTGAGTCAATAAATGATAATAAAGAGCTTATAAATTGTATGGTATCAATTAAATGTAAATCAGTTTTAAATTAATTTCAATAGGATCGATATGTTGATAACGTATGTGTATATGAATATAAGTATGATATAAAAAGAATGTAATAAGTAAAGACAGGGCCGCATTAAAGGGGTATTTATGATAAAAATCACATGCTGAAGAAAAATTGCCACTAAGACAAATCTCAGTTTATCAAGAATTTTATGCACATTTATTCTTTCAATAATTTTTGCGGGTTTCGTATAAATAAAATAAACTATTAGTGGTATGGCATTATGCCTTAAGGCAAATTGCTGAAACTTCCCGTACCTTAATGGAATATTCGAGAAATATAAAATGTTATAAAAAGTAAATAAACAAAACTTAATCAATCGGATTTAAATTGAAGATCATTGTCATTATATGTCTAACTATTGTATAAACTGAATTGCAAAGTAAAAAATTATGTATTTGAAGTATATAAGTGGTGTTCAGAACTTCAGTTAGAATTAGAATTAAAATCCGAATCATTTTTCGATGTTTATTATTTCGTTTTTTGAAAATTAAAAAAAATGGAATAAAAAAAATATTTCCTTAAAAGCAATCGTTTAGTCAACACAAGCTTTTAAGTAATTTAAATCGGATGCTTAGTTCTCTCAAATACTGCCATTATGTGCACATTTATTTCTATATCGGCTGGACCTGCCTTTGTCAAAATCTAATCACCACTTTTTCTCATCACTACGAATCGATTGTTTTTTGGATCATTCAAATCCGTTGATCTGTTCTCTTAAAAACTGATATTTTTAGCACTTTTTGCCCCATATCTCTAAAACCGCTGGGCCTGTCTTTGTCAACAACTAATCAGCACGTCTCCTCATCAATAGAAATCGAATGTTTTTTGAACCAATCAAATCGGATGATTCGTACGACCGAAATCGTCGACAAAAAATTGTCTCCACACACACATTTATTTTTTCTGAGGTTTGCCAAGATGTTCAGCAACCTCTGAAACGTAAAGATATGCAAAAAATTTCATTTTCGATTTTTGGCCCATTACTTTAACTTACCCCATGGGAAGTTTTAATAAATATTTACATACAATCAGTGATTATTGTTTACATTAATAGTTCTGTTAATGAAGTATCGATCTTCTCTAATTCGTTCGAAGAAAGTAATAATTTCATATTTTTGTGGAATTTTCCACCATTGTTTGATAACGTTATCTTTTATGATTCTCTATGAATAAACTTGAAGACATTGTTTGCAGAAAGTTGATTATACAATTTGCGTCACAAATAATAGTTTGACTAAATTTGTCGTTATTAAATTCATAGATAAAGTCTCAAATTAAAACTACCCTTTTGGTAAATGATTGTATTTTTAACTTCCCGTAGGGTAAGTTATTGTAATGGGCCGAAAATCGGAATTGAAAATTTTTACATTTCTCGACGTTTTGAAGGTTTCTGAACGTTTTGGCATACCTCAGAAAAAATGGATGTGTGTGTGTGTGTGTGTGTATGTGTGTGTGTGTGTGTATGTGTGTGTGTGTATGTGTGTGTGTGTATGTATGTATGGATACAAATTTCCAGTCACGTTTTAGGGCGCACGGATCAACCGATTTGAATGGTTCAAAAACATTCGATTCCTATTGATAGGGAAAAGAGCTGATTAGTTTTTGGCAAAGGCAGGTCCAGCCATTTCGGAGATACGGAGCAAAGAGTGCAGAAAATAGAAATCGAATTTTTGAGAGAACGGAGTATTCGATTTGAATCATCTAAAAAACATTCAATTAGTAATGATTGGGAGAAGAGTTTATTAGTTTTTGGCAAAGGCAGGCCCAGCCATTTCGAAGATACGGAGCTAAATATGTAAAAAATGACAGGTTTTGAGAGAACTGAGCATCCGATTTAAATGATTCAAAGAACTTTCTGCTTGTCTTAACAAAATAATTGATTTTGGAAAAAAAAATTTGTCCCAACTTTTTTTTTTTTTTTTTTTTTAGTTTTTTTTGTATATCGAAAATACTTCAGATTTTATTTTTAATTCTGACTATTAGTTCTAATATACTTTATAAATAATTTCAACTCTGCAATTCAGTTTATATAATTCTTATAAATATTAGACAATGTTACAATATTTATAATAATCTATTTGAAAACATTCAGTATTCCTCGAACATTTCGTTACGGTACGGGAAGTTCCAGCAATTTGCCTTAAGGCACGATGCCATAACTGCCTCAAGACAGAATTCCACTTACAGCTAGTTTATTATTTGATTAGATAAGTTATTTATTTTCTGTTGAAGTACGAAGAAGAGGACGTAAATTTTCCAGTGAATGTAAAAATTATCACATTTTGAGACAAACAAATTAAAATAACATATTTTTTTATAAATATATTTTGATAATGCGTACGCAATTTATGACAATATTATACAATGGACACATCCGAAAGTATAATGAATGTATTAAAATATAAATTAAAGTGCGTTTTTACTATTTTTATTTTTTATGTAAAAATATTTAATAAATTATTAAGTATTTTTATAAAGATTATTGTATGTTTGGATTTATGAGCAATAAGTTCTAATATAGTTCTTAACCATACAGTCACTACATAGCCTAAATCGTCCTTTTGACAAAATAATACTTTCACAAACACTTTTCACAAAATTCTTACGAGTCAGTTTTATTCGAAGTGTCGCTGTTCTTACGAATAATATCTACATTGTTCGCCTTTTTTTCTTGGCGCCTAGTATAAGCCAGATCACTTGTTGGAATTGAATTTTTAGTGATAACAATACGAGGTTTTTCTGTCATTGGTACAATTTCTTCGGGATCTTGAACGATTTTATCTGGACTGTTCCAGGATTGTAGATTAGAGTCCGCAAACACCAAATATAAAAGACCACAAACGACCAACATTGCTGTCGCTAGGAGGAAAACTTTCTGCCATTGCTCTATCGTTTGCTAGAGATAGAAGATACACATTTTAATGTTTAAAATTCACAATACAGTTTTGAAGTAGGGGAAAGTCCCCAAGTGGCGGACACCTAAGGTTATTTATAAATAAATCAAAAAATATTTTACGAAATGTTTATTAAATTATGATTTATGTTAGATAACAAAGTTAGAAATCAAACCAAATTAACAAAACCGCAATCTTTGCTAAAAGTAATTAATACTATCAATCAAACTTTGGTATCAAAAAATATGATTTTAAACAGTGGCACCTATTACCGGACATTTCAAAATAACCTGCATTGATCACATATGCAGCCATCTCCACGCTCTGGAATGTCTACATATGTGACTTCGACAAATATTCTTAGATATTGCAAAAAAAAATCACTATTTATCCACCCTTTTGGCTGGGCCACACCGATTCTCTCAGCTGGTGCATTTATAAGTTTTTCATTCTTTGACTAGGAAATACGAAAAATGTGGGTATGTAGTGACCGTTAGCACTCATACAGAATAAAATGAAATAATTGGAATAAATTACGTATATTCTCACAAGAAATATCAATATGTTTACTGTCCGGCACTAAGGGACGGCTTAGTATCCGTTGCTAAGGGACAGACATTTTCGTTCATTTGGTGGCACCTACTAAAATTGATTAAAGATCTAATAATATTCTACCATTTTATGGATAATAATCAAGTACAACTTTTATCTTTGCATACCACTCAAATGCAAATGCATAAATATGCTAGAATTACTTCTATTGATATTTAGGTGACGCCGTGATTTTGCGCCTAAAACAGGAAAGGGAAGCTCTCGCCGTGGCCGTGTGCGTGACAGGCGAGGCTTGGTGCGTGATTCTGTACCTGTGTGCCCTCAGTGCCCCTTTCACTTATATTTTGGAATGAAAAGATTTATACTCGCTTAAATAATACGTGTTAAATAGAGTGTCCGGTCTTTGGTGCCGTCCGGCGTTACGTGACTTCCCCCTAATAATTATATACAAATAGTATTTTTAATATAACAATTATTACTTACGTTTTCAAATGTTAGTATACCAACGATAGCAGGCGAAATAAAACCAGGCATTACAGAAATCATACCACTCAATCCCAGCGTAATACCTGTAGTTAAAATTGTATTTAAATAATAAATTTAGACAATGTCTCTAATATTATGCAATTGGTGTAATTATAGTTAAGTAATTACTGGCATAATTGGGACTCAAATCCACAAAGCTGGCTAATGGCCCAGTTGAAACGGCTCCATTAACTGCAGTCGCCAGAGTCATGAACACAATAGCCGCGATGTGATCATTACCAGAGAATGCTAAACCTGCCATGAAAATGCCTTGTCCTATGCAACCTTTTGTAAAAAAAAAACAAATGAAATGCGTATGTAATCCTTAATTAAAAAATAAATTCCGCGATTTATGCTTACAAACAGCAGTTGCCATTTTTCGTACGTTTGTCCTGGACATTTTATCGGTCCTTAACATATAATCACCGAATAACGAAAAGAAATATGCGAAAACCATTCTCATAATGTGCGGCATACCAGATAACATTCCAGTCTGAAATAAATGTTTTATGAAATTATTCAAAAAAATATGAGGTAAAATTCTTAAATCACAGCATACCATTCGAATATTCCAACCATGAATTTGCTTGAAGTACGTTGGAGCTTGTGTCATTAGTGTAAATATTCCCCAGATACCGCCCCACTGTGCGATTATGTTCATCCATACTGGTCGGGATAAAAGTAGTTCTTTCCATGGTGTTTTCAACTGCAAAATTAGAGATTTTTTTTATTTGAACAGCGATCAGAACTTATGGGTACTATGAGCTGTTGTGATTAATATCTTACAAAAAACTACGTTTGTTTTTATTATAAATGGTAACCCAAACAGTTGTCTCATCTCTATGTGGTGAAGTTTTATTATTACAATTACTGTAATAGTGATGCTTTTAATTGGCGTAGCAATGCCGTATTAAAGCTGTTTTCACTTGGAAACATATTGCTATCTATATTTTCAAGTGAAAATCGTTGTCACTGCTGCCCGACAACAGGATGCTCGAAGTGGGTATCGAACCCGGGACCCCTGATCCAGGCCCAATCGTTCTAGCCACTTACCTACGAGCGAGCCCAAAAATACAGATAATTATAAAATTGTTAAACTTTAAATTTTGGTTATTGTGTGATAAAACTGTTGTGAATATGATGTTCAAATCATATGTTTGAAATGCCTTTCTGCTTCTGAATTATTATACTGAATAATTTATGTATACTGAGCAGTATGTAGCCGCACAAAGTATGCAGAACATTATTCAATAATGAGCATAAATTTGATTTGCATTACATATATTGATTGAAAAGGGTAGAAAACTAGTGGTGCATGGCATCGTGCCTTAAAGCAAATAGCTGGAACTTCCGGTAAAGATTTTTTTTTTTTTTCAAATCTATTTTTTTTTTGAAAAATTTAAAAAAATGAGGCTTTTGAAATTAAAAAAATGAATTTTTGGAAAAACTTGTTTTTTTTTAAAAAACTCATAATTCTCTTTATACTTTTTTCAGAAGAAACATCAAAGCGCATAAGCGCCGCATCGCAGTCTTATGGATAAACATTGGTATGGAACCCATATAAATGTAAACATAATGCAAACTTATTATTAAAATATCTCATAATTTGTTGTGCATATGTCTAATGATCATTTTTACTTGCCCGCTAAATGGCATTTTTTTACTTTTTTCACTCGATCTTGGAAACCGCTAGACCTGCCTTTGCAAAAATTTAAATGGTACTTTATTTTGTCAAGACAAATAAAATGTTTTTTGAATTATTTAAATCGTACGCTGCGTTATCTCAAAAACTCAAATACCATTTTTGGCACTTTTTGCCCCATATCTTCGAAACGGCTAGACCTGCCTTTGCTAAAAACCAATCAACACGCCTCCTTATCAAGAGGAATCGAATGTTTTTTGAATCATTTGAATCTGTTGATCCGTGTTCCCGAAATCGCCGACGAAAAATTGTATCCGCACATACATACACACGCACACACACACACACACTCATACATACATCCATTTTTTCTAAGGTAGGCCGAAATTTTCAGAAACCTCTCAAACGTAAAAATATATAAAAATTTTCATTTTTGATTTTTTTGTGATTACTATAACTTAACCTACGGGAAGTTAATAAAAGCTAAAAACGAAAAGAAAATTTATATGTTTCTTTTCGTTTTACCTAATATTTTAACTATATATAGTTATTATATTATATTAGAATACACATATGTATTCAAAATACTATGCTTTGATGGTTTTTGTAGCAAAAATGTGTCTGTTTTCGCATTTTTGCAGTTTCTTGGTCGATTCATCATTATGTAGTTCTTTAAGTTTTGATATTTTTCTACAAGAATATAATTTTGAAACTACTATATTTAATGTGTAGTTTTAAACGTGTGTCAATTATATTGAATAATTAAAATTAAGTATATTTGTACATGTTGATTGCTGATAAATCATTTTCTTTTACAATTCATCTAAAGAAGTTCTGAACTATTGGCCAGATTTTTGCTAAATTAGCAATAATTTTACTATATTATATAATACTAATTCCTCACTGGTTTTTTAGTGATTGATTCTCCCAAGCTCTTCTCTATGCATTCCTTCTCTTCCAACCCGATGCGTGGATGTTGAGCTGGTGAATCGAAAATCAGAAGCCACCAGCAAATGAACCAGAATGTCCCAATCATTCCTGTGACATAGAATACTCCTTCCCAGTTCCACCAGGATATGATGTATCCGCACAAGGGAAATGTCAGAGCAGCTCCGACAGAACTTCCTATAATTGTGTTATTCAGATTTAGAATACATGTTGAATAATATAGTTAAATAAATGTTTGTAGAACATACATTTAAGAAAACTAATCTGTGCAAACAAATGGCAAAAAAATAGAAAATTGAGATATTTTCTTCTGGAAAATATAATAAATTTTTGAAATCAACTGTCAAGCTTTAAACTACAAGTGATTTTTTTTTAAATTTATTAATTATATCAATCAATTATTTAATTTTACTGGTTTTCTTAAATTTGAAAATCTCCGTACTTTTTCCACAAAGTTTGCAGAATAATTTCAACAGCAATTACGTAGTACATATTTTTTAAATTGCTGACCTAAGTAAGCTGTCACGAATTTGCTTCTTTCATTTGGAGGTATCCATAGTGCGGTCATATTGTGCATTGATGGCCAAGCAAAACCCTAAAAGCATAATAATTATACATATTTTCTAATGGAACTTGAAATACTACCAATGGGTAGTATTTTAAAATCTTATTTAATATCTTAGTCACAAAAATTACTGCCTTTACAGGCAGTTGTAGTTTGACGAAAATAAAAAAAATCTAATGGTTTGCATTTATATATGCTTATTTGCAGCAATTTTTTTTCTACATTAACATGAAATTCAAGAGGTTTAATATAAAACTACTAAATTTAATATTTAAAATTAGTAGTAACGTCTCCAGTTAAATGCAGTTAAATATATAAAATGAAAACAATCTTATAACAACAACAAATTCATAACAAGAATTTGTAGATGTATTATAATGGATTTTTCCTATATCAAATTATCTTTTTTTAAATTATTCACATCAGCAATTATGTACTTCAAATATACTTACGCAAACAATGCCCTGAATTACTCGGAGGAATATAAGTGCTTGATAATTCATATACGCCGATAGTGGCGTGATGAAGCAAAATAAGCAACCTAGAAAATTCGACAAACCAAACACCAGTTTAGTACCATATTTTCTAGCCAAAATTCCTCCTGGTACTTGAGTGATCCAGTGGAGCCAGAAAAATGCCCCTAAAATTAACCCTTGCTGGTATTCGTCCCAGATGAAACCATCTTCCTAAAGAGGAAATAATTATGCAAATTATATTTATATTGTATGTAATGAAAAATAATCAGAGTCATAAAACTTTTATAACAAGAACTTTATATTGTCCAAAGGTGAAAATAAATAATATCCTATTCCTACCAAAGAATGACCAAGTCAAGTATCTTGGAATTCATCTTTAAAAAGGACTGAATTGAAATATACATATAAGGATGAAACGCAAACTGCTCTATAAAAAATTTAAGTGCTTTTTTGATTACTTGGCAAAAATTCCTATGACGATAAAATATTAATATATAAGACAATAATTACCCCATTTGGACGTTTGTGATAGAACTATGGGCAAGCTCTAGAAAGTTAAAAATAACTAGTGGTGTATGGCATCGTGCCTTAGGGCAAATTGATGGAACTTTTTGTACCAAAAATTAAATTTTTAAAGAAAGATTAAATATGATTTAATCCTTGAAAAAAAAATAGATTTTTGAAAATTTTAAATTTTTGAAAAAAAATTACTTTTTTGGAAAAAAAACTTTTGGAAAAAATTGTTTTCTTTAGTTTGAAATATTTTGGAAATTTTGAACTTTTTTTTAAAGCAATCGCACTGCTTTAGCTGCATAGAGACGCAATATCGAAACGCGTAAACGCCGCGTCGCCGTCTAACAGACAAACGATGTTACAGAACCCATAAAAATGTAAACAAAATGTAAATTATTTAAATCTCCATAAAATATCTGATAATTTGATGTGCATATGTCTAATGATTATTTTTGACTGCCAAATGGCATTTTTTTTACTTTTTTTACTAGATCTCCGAAACCGTTAGATCTGCCTTCCCAAAAATTTAATCAGTTCTTTATCTTGGCAACACAAGTAAAATGTTTTTTTGAATTACCGTGCCGTTTTTGGCACTTTTTGTCCCGTATCTTCAAAATGGCTAGACCTGCCTTTGCCAAAAACTAATCAGCACGTCTCCTTATCAATAGGAATCGAATGTTTTTTTAATAATTGAAATCGGTTGAAACGTGTTCCCGAAATCGTCGACGAAAATTTGTATCCGCACACATACACACACATACACAAACACATACATACATCCATTTTTTCTAAGGTATACCAAAATGTTCAGAAACCTTTGAAACGTAAAGATATATAAAAATTTTCATTTTCGATTTTTTTGCAATGACTATAACTAATCATATGGGAAGTTAATTAATGGAAAATAAGAATAAATGAAACCGAATCCTCTCATATTACCTCACCAAATCCACTCATATTAATTTTATAATAGAAATTCAAGACTGTCAAGACAAGAAAATGTCCAAGGGTGAAAATAAATATCTATTATAGAGATACCAATGAATAACAAAATCAAGTCTCTAGGAAGACTAAATTGTACTATACATATGAAGATAAAATGCTAGCAGATCAATAAAAAATTCAAAGTGCTGTAATGGTTACTAAGCTTAAATTCGAATTTAATTACCCCATTTGGACGTAATGGATAGAACTATGGGCTTGAAAGTTATACATAATATAATAATTCAAAGAAAGCAATCTGAAATATTACACTACAAAAGGACCTGCAAATTAAAACAATTAATGAACTCGTCATGAAACATGTCAATAAACATCACGAGAAGCTATCAGGTCACCAACATCAATACACTCAAAGTCAAGAACTAATACAAATTTTCACGATTTAATACAAATTTTCAAAAATAATACTAGAAAACAATAATGTTTCATTCTTAGCATCGACTATCTTGGATTGGCTTTTATTTAATAGAGATCTTTCTCAGATTGAGCAAAATTCAATCAGTTAATAGATACAAAGATAGGAATACAGAAAATCTTTGCTCCTGATATCTATAACTCCCATATTACGCACATGAGAAGACGTAATCAAATTTCAAAATGACTCAAATTAAAGATAGGAAAGTAGAGTGAACCAGCTTCATTTCCAATCAAATATGATTTCATAATTACATTTCTTCTAATTTAAAATTTGACGTGATATCCATTAAATGTTCTACGCATAATCACAATTACCAATTAATTTTAATCTCTAAGAATGTAAACAAGTGTTCGATTGTTTGTTTATGATAACCGAGCAATGCACATGACAAGAGTATTACGCCGATATTTACTAACTAAAACATCATCTTTTGAATTTTGCTTTGAAATTTTTAAATCCATGTGATGAAAAATAAATATTAACAAACGTTTTGCCACGATGTTGATATAGATTATTGATATATAATAGGACTACACTACACCGTCACGTTTACTAGAAAATATCAGATAAAATATATAATTGGCAATAATTAGCAACTTGTACTACTACTGACTGTCTTTAAATTGCTCACAATTTACATAAATATAGATTGAGATTTTACATAATAGGTGGAAAACAATTTTTTTAATGATTATTTTATAATTTGGGTGTTCATAAGCGGGGTGTTTTTGAATTCCATATTTTGGTCGAAAAGAAGTTTATGAATATACGTTAATAAAATAGCATTTTCACATTTTTTATGTAAATATATGTATTTTTATTATCAAAACATATTATAGGTTGACAACAAAGTAATTGAGTAATTACTTAAATTGAGGAATTGAGTTTTTTTTAGAAAATCAAAGACAAGATTCTGATCGAACTTAAAAACTTTATTCTGAAATGTATTGTCCTTTTTGATTGATGACCTTTCATTTAGGCAACGTCATAATCCCACGTTCATAAAAACTTCCTGATTATTATTAGCAAAAATAATCATTATTAAAATTTTTACCATTCAAAGAAAAATAATTGATTTCGTTCTGAATATAACATTAATTTTTCAGTTGCTTTTAAAATAGAGATGATTGAACTAGACTTAATAATTTAAACGTTATTAACAAAAAATCATTATTGAAATTCTTACCATTCATAGAATTTTGCAGAAACTGAAGTTGTTTTAAATATGACATTAATTTTTCAGTCGCTTTCAAAATAGAGATGAGTTAACTGAATTTAATTAGTTAGACGTTATTAGCAAAAAATATTATCAAAATTTTTACAATTTAAAGAATATTGAAGAAATTGATTTCTTGCTTTGCTTCCAAAATATAATGGATTGACTTGACTTAATTAGTTAGACGTTATCAGCAAAAAGCATTATCATTATTGAAATTTTTACCATTCAAAGAATTTTGTCACTAGTGGGATGCATGGCATCGTGCTTTAAGGCAAATTGCTGGAACTTCCCGTACCATAATTAAAAATCTTGGTACGCAACCCAAAAAAAAAATTACACAAAATGTGTACACATTATTAAAATCTCTATAAAATATCTGATAATTTGATGTGCATATGTCTAATAAACATTTTTGACCGCCAAATCCCATTTTTTAAACTTATTTTTATTGAGAGTCCATAACTGCTGAACCTGCTTTTCCAAAAATTTAATCAGTTCTTCATCTTATCAATACAAGTAAAATGTTTTTTGAATTATTAAAATCGGACGCTCCGTTCTCTTGAAAACTGAATTTTTGGTACTTTTTGTCCCGTATCTTCGGAACGGATAGACTTGCCTTTGCAAAAAACTAATCAGCACGTTTCCTTATCAATACGAATCGAATGTTTTTTAAATCATTCAAATCGGTTGATTGGTGTTCCCGAAATCGTCGACGAAAATTTGTATCCGCACACACACACACATACATCCATTTTTTCCAAGGTATGCCAAAATGTTCAAGATATATGTATGTATATATATGTAAAGATATATAAAAATTTTAATTTTCGATTTTTTTGCGATTACTATAACTTACCCTACGGAAAGTTAAAAATTGATTTTGTTTCAAATATAACACTAATTTTTCATTAAATAGAGATGAGTTAACTAGATTTAATTAGTTTTTTTTTTTTTTTTTTTTAATTTTATTTGGCCTCGCTTACTCTGAGCATTTAGCCACCTACAACATGTTTATTTAGTTACATTCTAATTTTTATATCATTATTCAATCTATTTATGTATCCTATTCTATATTCTTCTAAATTTTCTTCTTAGTTTCTTCAATTCTTGCTCTTTTTTCAAATTTCTAATTCTATTTAACTTTCAGCTTCATTCATTTTTTTTTCATTCTTCTTTCAAGTTCCGATATTCCTTTTCTTACTTTTAATTCAATTCAACTCTTCGAATTTTGTTATTCCTATTTTTCTTAATTTTTATTCAAATTCTATTTAAGAAATACAATTTTTATTTGATTTCAAATTAACTATACATATTACTTTTTAACAAATTCTATGTTATTGACAGGATTTGATCCGAAGACCCCTGTCGTGTGAATCGAACACGCTACCAAAGAGCTATGCTCGCCACATTTAATTAGTTAATCGTCATTAACAAAAAACATCATCACTCTTGAAATTTTTACCATTCAAAGAATTTAGCAAAAATTGATTCCGTTCTTTTAAAATAGAGATGAGTTAACTAGATTTAATTAGTTAGACGTTATTAGCTAAAAACATCATCATTATTGAAATATTTACCATTCAAAGAATTTTGCAAAAATTGATTTCGTTCTGAATATGTCATTAATTTTTCAGTCGCTTTCAAATAGAAATGAGTTAACTAGATTTACTTACTTAGACGCAAATAATTAAGACTATTTTATTAAAATCAATAAACAAAAATTTACTTATAGAAAATTGCAAATGATTCAAAAATTAGTTTCACTTACCTCCTGATAGATCTCGCTTGGTCCAGGCGCTTGGGTGCTGGATGAACTTTCCGAAACATTTTCCGCCCCAGAATCCAAAACTAATTGCAATTTTTCGTTAATTGTTTCGTTAACCACAATTAAAGATCGATGCCTGACCATAGACACTATTGCTATGTTTAAATTAATTCTTATCATATAGTTAACGGCGAATCCGCAGAACACCATACACCACAGCACTTGTCTTGCACTAAATATCGTGCTGCCTAAAAAATATTTAATTAAAATTATAATAAAACATAGAAACTAGCTGTAAGTGGAATTCTGTCTTAAGGCAATTAAGGCATCGTGCCTTAAGGCAAATTGCTGGAACTTCCCGTACCAAAAATTATTTTTTTAAAAACGATTAACATTTTTGAAAAAAATTTACTTCAAAAAAATAAGATTTTTGACAAACAATTAGACAAAAAATTACTTTTTTTTGAAAAAAAAATTTTTTTTTAATTTTTTTTTTTTAATTTTTTTTTTTGAAAAAAAATGTTTTCTTTATTTTGACATATTTTGAAAGATCTAAACTTTTTTTCAAAGCAATCGTACTGCTTTAACTGCATAAAGACGAAATATCAAACCGCGTAAGCTCCGCGTCGACGTCTAACGCGTAAACATTGGTACGGAACCCATAGGAATGTAAACCAAAATTATACTTATTGTTAAAATCTCTATAAAATATCTGATAATTTGATGTGCATATGTCTAATGATCATTTTTGACCGCCAAATGGCATTTTTTTTTACTTTTTTCATTAGATCTCCGAAACCGCTAGACCTGCCTTTATGAAAATTTGATCGGTATTTCACCTTGTCAATACAAGTAAAATGTTTTTTGAATTATTAAAATCGGACGCTCCGTTCTCTTAAAAACTGAGTTACCGTTTTCGGCACTTTTTGCCCCGTATCTTCGGAACGGCTAGACCTGACTTCGCCAAAAACTAATCAGCACGTCTCCTTATCAATACGAATCGAATGTTTTTTGAATTATTCAAATCGGTTGATCGGTGTTCCCGAAATCGTCGACGAAAATTTGTATCCGCACATACATACACACACGCACACACACACACACACACACACACACACACACACACACACACACACACACACACACATACATCCATTTTTTCTAAGGTATGCCAAAATATTCAGAAACCTTTGAAACGTCGAGAAATGCAAAAATTTTCATTTTCGATTTTTTTGCGATTACTATAACTTACCCTACGGGAAGTTAAAAATTGTTTTAGTAAAATCTCATACGAGATATATAGCAATACAGCATATTGTTCAACTTTTGGTGACAATGTGAAAAATTATAATTTTCTGAATGTACAACGCGAATATAGTTTTTTTTCATTTTTAGTTTCCACTTTGGTTATTAACTTTAACTTGAGTTATTGCTTGAGCTGCCATAAACATATCCAAAATTTTTATACTAAATTTTATAAGTGATCCAAGTGCAATGAAAAAATCTTATTAAATATTTTAAATCATAGGAATTTTATTATTATCTGAAGAATGATAAATTTCATATTTTATACATTGTTAACATGTTTCCAAATCTATGCATGTTTTTATTAATTCCATCGGTATGGTCATAAAAATCAAATGGGCATTCTTAAATACAATAAATATTCGGCGATAAAATTGTCAAAACACCTGTTATAAGACCGATATTGAATCTGTTTTATCTCTGAAGCTTAGCAAATAATCAATGTAAAATTGCCTTTTCAATTTAACTTAATCCCAAAATCGTACGATAAAAGTAACAAAAAGGTAATTCATAAATACACCAATATTAATAGCCTTTATGTAATAAATTTTTAAATTTTTCCGAAACGAGTTAAGCAAACAGAATAAAGCATATAAATAAAAATTGTAATCTTTATATTTGCGCAAGAATCTGATTACAAAGAACTTCTCGTTTGTTTAATAGCTCAGTAAAAAAAACATAACTTTGAAGTGAAAATCCCATTAATTAATTGATAAGAGTATAATAGCAGTTATTCATCTCGAAGAGCAAATGTAATAAGAAAATATAATTATAGATATCAGCTATTACCATTAAGATCAAATGGACTAAGGAAATGCTAAGTGCGCATTATTATTGTGAATATTTATTATGTATCTAATAATAAACATATTAGTTGCAAAAAAATGATTACTGCTTAACCGGAATACTCTGAATTCATTGTATTTGCAGAGATATATCATATGAAAACGTCATAATAAATTATTAATTATACTCGAACAAATAATATGTATGCAAGTATAAGATAATATTTAATTGCAATGATTAACTAATTACTTATATGCATTATATACATACATATATGCATATGTACATTCAATCATTTTTGCGTTTGTCTATAGAAATGTAAATGCATTAATATCCAGGGATTGGTACTATTGCAAAATTATAAAAAAAATCAATATTGTTTCAATAAATTATATATGTATTATATATATATATATATATATATATATATATATATATATATATATATATCTGAACTAGTGGCCTCTTTTTTCTTCAAAAACAATTTATTTATTTAAAAAAAAATGTCTATTCGACGTTCCGGAGATGAGGGATGTCTCCTTCTTCAGGAACTGTTATTGACAATACATAAAATAATATCATGCATTAATACATTTACTTAATTATTAAAAACTTGAAGTGAGCTTTTTCGATTTTATAATAATTAAATTAACAAACAAAATAACGAATATAGTAATAAAATAATAATAATAATAATAATTAAATTGGGTATCCTAAATTAGTTCCTGAAGAAATGTCTCTATATCCATCATTTTCAAACTCTGTTGTCTATAGCCAGAATTAATGAATTTTTAAAGAAACTCACATTTTTATTGATTATTAGATTCTGTTAATACGTAAATTAATATCAATTTCAGAATTATGCAACATTTTATATTCACAAAATTATTCAAAAAATATATATATTTTTTTCAACATTTTATTGAATAATGAAAAACATTACTAATGGTGTATGGCATCATGCCTTAAGGCAAATTGCTGGAACTTTCCATAATGAAATACGGGAACGAAGAACATGTTCTCACATTTTTAAGAATTATATAAACTAAATTGCAAATTAAAATCCGAATTATTTTCGATATTCAAAAAAAAATTTTTTTGAGAATTAAAAAAAAAACGAAACAAAAAAAATTTCTTTTCCCAAAAATAATCGTTTCTTCAATACAAGCAAAATGTTTTTTGAATCATTCAAATCGGATACTTTGTTCTCTTATAAAACTACCATTTTTTGCACATTTAGCTCCATATCTCTGAAACGGCTGGACCGACCTTTGCCAAAAATTAATCAGCACGTCTCCCTATCAATAGGAATTGCTTTTTGAATCTTTGAATTTAAATCGATTGATCCGTACGCCCACAATTGTGGACGAAAAATAGTATCCACACATATACACACACATCTATTTTTTCTGAGGTATGCGAAAATGCTTAGAAACCTCTGAAACGTAAAAATTAGCAAAAATTTCAATTTCGACTTGTGGACGATTACAATAACTTATCCTACGGAAAGTTAAAGATATAAATTTTTAGGTTTCTTTATTTTCTTGTTAGTAATCAAAGGTTTTATATCAATTTTCATTCAAATTTATTATTGTTGCTTCTCATTAATTTTTCTATGTATGCATCTTGAGTGCAGAATATAAAAGTTAGTGTATGAAAAACAGTGTTCTTTTTCGTACCCAAATTTTAAAGGTTACAATCAAATAGAAATCCTTCGCTTTTATAATAAATATTTTTGAAAATTGTTAAATTTTAGATTTCTCAGTTCGTTTAGTTGTAAAACCTTTCAGCCGACAGGGCACATAAAAACTTATTCGTTCTCGTGATACTGAACTTTCGTAAAATAGATAAAATTTTTAAATTTTATTTTCGAAAATATACAAAACTTTAGCTTCCACAATTTCTAAAAAAGGTCTTAAATTGTCAACTATTCTTAATCTTCGACCTTTAATTTCACCTTTATGCGAAAACACTTCCTATTATGAGTCAAACCTCACGTACGTTTCTGTAATACCGCATTATTCATTGATTTTTTTTATTATCATTAGAAGATTAACATTTTATCATGTTTAAATTTTAATGCCACTATGAAGTAACATAAAAATTTGATAATTGAATGCTCGTATTGTCGCTCAAAAGGCAACAGTTGGAGCTCAAGATATAAAAGATTTATTTATTGGTTGACAAGGTGACGTGTATTATAATAAATGCCATGTACACTTTTGATCTATTTAGATTATCCGCCTTTGACTGTTGCTATTCTAGGTAATTGAATTAAGTTATCTTGCATTTGGTTTTATTTAGCCAAAATGATAGATTATGCATTAATCTAATAGTGCCCACCAATTTATAGATTTTCAAATCTAAGTCGTTGCATGTATAATTTATTAAAAATAGTAGTGCATTTAATTTAAAACTTTTCTTCTGATTGGGATGCATTTGAAAAATGGTTGGTTTTTTAAAAAAATATATCAGATATGATATACGCGTAAATCTATACGAGTACTGTATACTATTTTTTATTATGCTCTGTAAAAGTTATATTAAGCTAAGCTTTCGTCTACGAGCAAATAATCTGTCGAATACGAGCAAATGAAAAGAGCATAGACATTTATCTAATAATATTTAGCCATACTTTCTAAATACAGTAAATAATAATGGATATTAGGGCTGGTCCTAAGCTGAGTTTCAGCGATTTGGGGAAGAATAATGTGAGAGATTTTCCAAATAAAAAACATTAATATTTGGAAAATCTCTCATAGTATTCTTCCCTAAATCACTAAAAATCAGCTTAGGACCAGCCCTAATATCCATTATTATTTATTGTATTTTCAAAAAGTTAAATTGAGTTAAATTTTCATGTCAGATCAGAAAACGATTTGCTTGAAATTTATTTGAATTTTATTTATATTTATTGCTATTACAAATTACGCAGTAAAGTTAGCAAAAAACTTTTAAACATATTTTCTAATATAATAATACTTCAATAATTTTTACTTTTACAAAACTTTCAATTTTTCTTCGTTCTGATGAAATAACTTAAATTGACATAATTTAAATTGGCAAAAATTATGATTTATTTGATAACTAAACTCGTATTCATAATGTTTTATTTTAAGAAAAAAAGGTAGGAAAGCATTAACTTTTTACTTTATATATCATATAGTAAATATTGATGTATTTACTATATTTTATATGAAATAAAAATATATGTAAACATGTTACAAGAATAAAGTATTATAGGAATATCACCTAAAAGCTCGATAAACGAACAAATACAATAATATAATGATAATAAATAGCAGAATAAAAATCCATAGTATAAAACATAAGAATTGACTTTAATATGTCTGAATTCCATAAATAATTGATTTTTTTTATAAGTAAACACTGATTTAAATCGACTATATACGTACTTAGCTGCTATAATATGCTAAATGCATTGACATAATAATTAGATAAACTTCAATTTTTAAATATAAAATTTAAAATTATTAAAATTTTTAACAAAATAATGGACAAGAAAATAATGTCATTTTCTCTATAAGAAAGCACTGATTTAAACCTACACATACATAGCTGTATTGACATAATAAATAAAAAGATTTTAATTTTTATATATAAGATTGAAAATTGTTGAAATTCTATAAAAAATAATGGAAAAAGAAGCACTAAGTCCTAGATTCTGAAAAATAATTTAGGTTTATGGAATCCAGATAAAATAAAACGTGTAAATCCATTCTAAATTTTAAAGAATCTCTAAATAAAAATTCTTAACAAACATGGCAAAACAAGTAACTAATATTCTTTTTGAAAAAAGTGGTGTACAAACATTTAAATATAATATTTTCAAAAGTTGTTAATCTAGAAGCAATTGAATAGCAATAGCATCCAATTCGAAAGCAACATTAAAATTTAAAAATCTGACTTTTTTCCGTAAAAGGAAGCTTGAGCAAGTATATTTCTAAATATGTAAAAAATTTTTACTTTCTTGATCAGATTTTTTCAAGTTAATAAAAAATAATCACCGATTATATGCCAATGTAGAGTATCTATATAAATAAGTGTGAGTTTCATCTGCGTGTGTTTCTATTTGAACAAGAGCCTGATAATGTCTTCAGTTGGTGTAAACATATCATATTAGTATAGCTGTGAATTTAAGCCCTAGTATTAATTATAATTGTGTTCCATAAATAAGTCGTAATATGTAAAATTCGAATTTGATAATATTTGCTTTTGAATTCATTATTTTTCAAGACCATTATTAATAAGGACTTATGCTAATTAGTGAGCTGTATGAATAATATTAAGATATTTGGAATACTTTTTTGCATTTTAAAAACTTTTTATAATAGAAATAGGCTAATTTCAGTTGTAGTTTCCAATACGTGCTTGCAAATTATGGCATGAATCTGTTGACAGTTTGTTTTTACGCGAAAATAGAAATTTGTTGTCTTAAAAATACTTTTTTTTAAATTGTAATTATGATATTTAAATATAAATTCTAATTGTGGTATTTTAAACTTAATTTATTGAAAAATGTTATCAGAATGGAATCAACAAAAATTCCGCTATTGGAAACCTTTAATAATTGTGGTTAAATTGAGACCTTACTTGATAAAAACTATTCATAAAATAATGTTAAATAATTAAATTAAAAAAAATTAATTCAGACATAATTTAGTGCATTAATAAAAGGTGAACCACTGGGTTTTCCTTTTAAAATTTTATGTTATTTGTCAAACTAATTACTCAATGTCTTTCTATTTAGACAGATTGTAATTATAAGAAAATAAAAAAAAAATAATAATAATAATAATTTAAAATGTACAATATTTCAAGCACTTGAATCAAATTTAAACAAATACATTTAATTAGTAACACTCTTTATTTTTTTTACTAGAAAATGAATTTTTCTCATATAGCAATGATGCTTGATCAAATGCCTTTGAAGGATTCATATCACCATGCAAAAAAAAAACTATAAATAAAATAAAAATAAAATGAAATTATATTAATGAAAAAATAGTTATATTTAATATAATGTGATTTTGTATAAATATTATAATTTACTGAAAAAACAACCATAACATAGAGTAGCACTAAGATGGTGTAGATACGTTAAGTTGAAATGAAGCCTTAGCTTTCTTTTGCACGCCACGTTTTAAATTTTTCAATATAAATTTATTAAATATTAATAAATACCTGCTCCCATTGTTTCTGAAGATTCTCGATAACTTATTATTCACAAAAACTTAAAATATTCTACCGATGCATATTTCTTTATGACTAGAACATCACTGATCCACCAAGACCACAGTACAGTTCGTGAATATGGTCCGCATCATAGCCGCGACACCGTTTTCTGATAAAATTTACTATTTTCGGTTAGCGTCACTTAAAGGAATATATATGGTTTGTTTACAAGCGATTTATCTACCAACAATTCAATCATAATATAATCACAATCATCGTCGTGCATTTGCTTCATATAAGTTATTTAAAGACGTCTCGACAACACCGGCTTACACATTATCAGACGACTGACAAACATTTTCAAATCCAATAATCAGAACTATCACCGGCACCGGCTCATATCTGTAATGAGAGATATTAATGATTACAAAATAAATAGTAATTTTCAAAAATTTATTCCTGGTGTTATAAAATATTTACCTCAATTGGATAGAAATCAAAGTATTACATTTCCAATAACTTTTTAGGATTTCTGGTATGTGGCATATTTTGCATATACATAATAAAACTAGTGGGGCGCATGGCATCGTGCCTTAAGGCAAATTGCTGGAACTTTCCGTACTAAAAATTATTTTTTTAAAAAGATTAACATTTTTGAAAAAAAATTACTCTGAAAAAATTAGATTTTTGAGAAACTATAAATTTTTGACAAAAATTTACTTTTTTTTAAACAAAAAACGATTTTTTGAAGAAAAATTTATTTTGAAATATTTTGGAAATTCTGAACTTTTTTTGCATAGAGACAAAAGCATATTTGCTTTAACTGCATAGAGACAAAATATCGAAGCGCGTAAGTGTGCATATGTCTAATGATCACTTTTGACCGCCATATGGCATTTATTTTTACTTTTTTTACTAGATCTCCGAAAGCGCTAGACGTGCCTTCGTGAAAATTTGATCAATTCTTCATCTTGTCAATACAAGTAAAATGTTTTGTTTTTACTTGTATTGACTATTATTATTAAATTATTAAAATCGGACGCTCCGTTCTCTTAAAAACCGAGTTACCATTTTTGGCACTTTTTGCCCCGTATCTTTGGAACGGCTAGACCTGCCTTTGCCAAAAACTAATCAGCACGTCTCCTTATCAATTTGAATCGAATGTTTTTTTGAATTATTCAAATCGGTTGATCCGTGTTCCCGAAATCGTCGACGAAAATTTGTATCCGCACACGCATATACGAGTATATATACACGCACACACATATATACACGCACACACATACACACACATACATCCATTTTTTCTAAGGTATGCCAAAATATTCAGAAACCTCTGAAACGTAAAGATGTATAAAAATTTTCATTTTCGATTTTTTTGCGATTACTATAACTTGCCCTACGGGAAGTTAATAATCTTCCTGCGTTGGCTTAGTTTTATTTGTATATGCAATTCTAAACTGATTGAAATTAAGTCTCAAAAGTGCTTTTAAACAGCAATTAACTTGATTGCATATTTCTAATTGAAGCTAAAGAACATCTATAAATAGTAATTGCAAAATGTAATTCAATAGTATTGTTTCTTCTTTTATTTTCTCTGATCTAATCATAATGCACTTTTTTCCAGTAATTTAATAAAAAAAATATTGCTTATTTTCTCTCTCATTGAGAAATGTTAACAAAATTACTAGAAATCAGATATTTTTAAAGGCATTTATCAAGAACATCAGCACAATTGGATTCTTTTGCGCATTGAAGTAAAACTTCTTTAGGCGCGACTAGGGTGTAAATCTGTACAAATGCAACGGAAATCCGTTACGCCAACACTGTGCGTCATTCGCTTTCGATGAAATCATTTCGATACGGGTCGATTGTGATTAGACGTCGTGTATGTGAATAGAGATCTGTCGTTGTATGCGTACCGATATCAACAAGGAAATCGGCATAGATAAATAAACATTTTAAAGTTACATCGTGGTACAAATCTTGATTTAATAAAAAATGCCTGAATCAGAAGAATATTTTACCCTGTTCCTAGAAAATATTGATTAATAAGATTAATGATTAGTAAGTTGATTGATAGAAATTATTTCTGTATTATTCGTAGTTTCTATAAATCTTTGAAGTTATTAAAATGAAAAATATTTTTTAGACAAGACAGATATTACAGCTGTTCAAAGAATGAGATTATATCGCCAGCGAAAAAATAAAAAAAAATACATGCAGTCAATGAACTTATGTTAATTTTAATTACATGAAGTTCTTCAAACACAATTCCATGATGAGTGAAGTTGCAAAAACAATATTTGTTTAGAAGTTGTTTACCATAATCCACTATGTCAACGAATATTATAGAATTTATTAATCAACAATCACTTCATTTCTCTAATGAACGTTCATTTCTAAATGCTAATTACAATGACAAATCGATCATGTCATATTTGAAGTATGACTTTAATTACATTATTGTTTTTAAATATTATACATATTTTTAATGCTATTACAAATATATAATTTATAATTTATCATTATATAAATGTGTATAATGGTTGACACTAATAAATGTGTGCATCACAAGTGTTACCATATTACTGATAAATATTATTCAAAATTGTTATATGATGCGTATTTATTTTTACTTAAATGCCATCTTGTATAGTAGCAAATAAGTTTTACTTCAATTCGCAAGAAACTTACGCGCACTCTTTTTTTAAATTAATCGTATTGCGGCAATTTTTAATTTACCAATGATTACTTCAAGTCCCTCGTTCAAGAGCATTTTTCTATATTTTTTTCATCAGAAAAAATATATTTTATAATTAAAAAACAACCATAAAAATCTTTGTTGACAATTATCATGAAACTAGTGGTGCATGGCATCGTGCCTTAAGGAAAATTGCTGGAACTTCCCGTACTAAGAATTAAATTCTTTAAAAATCGGACGCTCTGTTCTCTCAAAAGCTGAATTACCATTTTTGGTTCTTTTTAACGGACAGGCCTGCCTTTGTCAAAAACTGATCAGCACTTCTCCTTATCAATAAGAATCGAATGTTTTTTGAATTATTCATATTGGTTGATCCGTGTTCCCGAAATTGTCGACGAAAATTTGTATCCGAACACACGCACACACATCCATTTTTTCTAAGACATGTTTCTAAAAAATGTTCAGAACCTCTGAAACGTAAAGATATATAAAAATTTCATTTTCGATCTTTTTTCGATTACTATAACTTACCATACGGGAAGTTAATTATTATTAAAACAATTATGGTTTTATATTTATAGTGATATAATATGAATGTAATAAAATATAGTTAATGATTATTATTTTATTACATTTCATATCTCACTCAGCAACAAAAGCAACAAATTGGAATTAATATTCTAAACATAATGTAGAAATTGTTTTGTTTGTTTCATATAAAATCTAAATTGATATGAGATAAAATATTTGGAGATGCCGGGGATCGAACCCGGGGCCTTTCACATGCAAAGCGAACGCTCTACCACTGAGCTACATCCCCGCTTACTAAACAGGTTTTTTTATTCACCTGCGTGCCAGGTACAATATATAATTTGATAAAAGTTTACATAATTATCGTCAAACCCTACAAAGTTTAATTAGCAACCTAATCCATATTCATCGTGTAATGATTTTAGACAATAGCATAATAAACATAATATCAAAATTGTATTAAAGAATATATGTCGACTTATTTGTTATAAGGTTGTCTCCTAAGGTTGAGATATAAAAATATCAACCTTCCCTTATGCAAATGTATATTATCATCAAGGCGTAAATATTAATTAATTCAATAAAGACAAATGCATTTAAAAGAAACTGTGTTACTCGTTCAAGTACATTTTTTATTTGCATTTGACTTTGCAATCAGAAAGATTCGCAAACTAGGTTCTGCTACATTTATAATAATTAATACTTAGGAAATAAAATCTATTAATAATGTTGTATTATCATATCCTGATTTTGAAAAGGAAAATAAATTCTAAACATTTCCAAGAACGTTCCAAATATTTCCAAACATGTTTAAACATTCTTTACTGCAATAAATTTAGTAATAAATTATTTTTATTTCGTATGCTTTATTTCATTATTTTTTCATTTTATTAGATAATTTGTTACGTTGATAATAACTAAAACAACTAAATCATAAAAAGGTAAAAAAATAGTATTACAAAAAAAATAAAATAAAAGATAATCTTTGACGTAATTCAAACCTATTCGAAAATTTAGAATAAAAATAAAAATTAAAAATCCGCAATTTTTTGAAAAAAAAAATCAATGATTCTTGACAAACACTTGTTTCTTCTTTTACTAAAAATGTACTCAAACTTTTAAGGCAGAAACTTTGTTCTGATTTATTTTTTATTGTATTTGATGTTAATATACGCCCAATAAACGTTCTACTTCAGTTACACATTCGAATGTTATAAAATATTTAAAATGAAAATTAGACGTTATTTTTACTAAAAAAATATACACGTTTTCACGTTTTTTTCTGAAACAAAAAGTAAAAAGAAAACATGGATTTATAAATTAATACATCAAACAAATTATTAATTACGTCAATTGATTAATTATTATTATTGATTACGGCTTGCTTATAAATAAATAAATAAATAAATAAAAATCAGTTTTCAGTTTTCTATAATTAATTTATTTCTCAGTTAAAAAATACAAATATATTAAATATTCATTAATTAGGCCTGATGCAAACCATACAAAAAATATCAGGATCACAGAACAAGAATATTTTTAATTTATACTCACTTAGTGGGTAGATATCATAATCTTAAAATACTTTTGGTATATAATAAACTATTTGTTAATATAACTAACAGTTCTTTTAAATTTAATCATTAGTTCACTTAATATCACAATCATAACAGGTTATAAATAACATGTACTAGGTTTTAGTATTTATAAAACATTTCCTATACTCTTTTACATATGCATATACACCAAATTACATATGGGCAATATATTTACAGATATTTTTAATATAGATATATATGCTGATAATAGTCTACTTAAAAAAAATAATTAAACTAATGCAAGAAGTATGATGTATACGATAATATAAAAAATATCACTGTGGAATGGT